TATATATATATATATATATTTATTTACTTACTTATTATATAACGCTGTGATGACTGCTATGCTGTTTGCTTGATTTGAACTTTAACAAGCTAGAAGAAATAGTAGAGGGTAAGCAACGATGCAGGGGCTGATGCATAGTGGGGAAGAAAGGCCCTGCTTACTCGTGCTCCTCCTGCCCTTGCAGCTGAACCCTGCACTTTGGATGACGGCCCGATTAGCCCGAGGTGCACCGCCAACTTCACGTAATTGGCTTTGGCTTCCTCCGAGGAGAGTCCTTTGTGAGCATTCCAGGCGGCCCTAAAAGCAGCGAGATCGAAACGCCCTTTGTTCTGAATACAACTGTACACTTGTCATGTGGCGAGAAGGCCAAGAATCACTGACATCAGGCTGGCTACTCCGACGACAGTCTGCACAGCAGGGAAAAATGAAGAAGGAACATAGCCTACCATTTAGAGTGAGCTTGAAAGGAGAACGAAGAAGGCTCCTTCTGCTCACAGTCGCCCTGCGTCGCCTGCTTGAACAACCCTGCAGCACCATCATATTGTCGGCTGAAGAATTTAGAGGCAGCTCAAAGCACTTCTGTAAGCATGCGCCTTGCCTACAGATGCATAAATGCTTTAAAACGCAGACGGTCTTTGTGTCCAAATACTGCACAAACATCATAAAAGGCACAGCCAACGGGGACCAACCATAAAGTTGCAAGAGTGAGTCATTTGACAAATTCTTAGCAGCGAGTTCGACGGCTTCCCGCGCCTCCTCGAACCTCTCTGCTGCCTTTGAGATGGGGATTTGATTATCCTCCTGAAACCAGCAACACATCGCGATAAAGTGCTCATGCAAGACGCAGAATGTGGAATTAGGCTCAACAAGTTGCATACAGATGCATATCTGCTCATGTGCCGAGGGAAGAAATCATGTCCGCAGCGTTCTTCGCTCGTCCCGTTATTCTTGTGTATATTACATGCCGTGTATGCGCAATGCCTATTTTCTGGGGTTAATCTGTGCAATCAGTGTCATCTGGCCTCCGTAAATGCGTCACCTCCGACGGGAGCGGCTTGCAGCCACTAGCAAGCGTCTGTCCTTCTCTTCTCTTCCTCCAAGAGCGCAGACGTTTTAGCAGTAAGGCCCCTAGAACGATGGCAGAGCCGAAGCTGAGCCCCACAAGAATCGCTGGGGTCTGTCCTACTGGCCTCGCCATTGAATGCCAGCAAGCAGCGCCGCTACCCACTAAACAGCAAATATCTTGTAAAGCCAGCTGTCTCAGCGATCCATGATGCGTACAACAACGGATTATTTAGAACAAACACAATCCAACACTGGAGGGAGTGGAATGGTACGAAGAACCAACAAAGAGACCACGTGCGTTAGCTGCATGCGGGATGAGAAGAGCCGCCTGTCTTGCCATCGAATGTGACGGAAAACAATCTCTAGGGTGAAAAATGCGTTTTATTTCGTTGTTATTTTCCAAGTATCGTGTACTGAAGAGCCCTTCTAGCTTCGTTTGCCCCTACTTCTCGATTTCTGGTCCGGCGCCATCCTCCGCCTCCAGGTCAACTGCGAGCTGCAAGTTTCACTGCAAGATAAGAACTGTATATCTATAGAGGTAATATGCAGAGAATGAGGTGAATTTCCGAGATCCGAAACAGGCGAAGCTGCTGAACGGGTCGCGCAAGCGCCGCCCCGGACCAGCGTTCGACATCGGAATGGTTCCTCCTTGCGGCATCTGCTGCTTGACAGCGGCAAAAGACAAGTTCGTTTCACGCACATATGGACATTGGCTATGTGCTCTTCACGGCGTTGTTTTAGTCTTCGGGCTGTATCTTGTGGGTGGGACACCTGGGGGGGGTTGTACGGCGGGAGTGATTCTCGCATCTGCAGCCACCTCATCACTGGCAGAGCCCTCTGCACCCACCCCCGCTTTTGCATCTTCTGCTGTTGAAAAAGCTGCATCAGACGTACAGCAGGAGACGCCCTCCCCCGTAGCTGACAACAGCAGCGAAACTCATACGTTTCGCCCTATTGTGTACGACAAATGCAGTATTCCACTTGCTGTTGGCGGCGAAATCGTACGGTGCGACAAGGACGGAGGAGGCAGACCTCATGTAGAGTTCAGTTCGTTTGAGGGGCCACAGGGGCCCCTTTTGAACCAAACTTTCCCCATGGACATACCTCCTGATTTCTTCATGCGCCGCGCGATGGCACGAGGCCGTGACGTGGTGAAACAAGAGAACGATGCAGGATCCGACTCTGGCTCCTCATCTTCTTCAACTGAGGGAGAGAAGAGCGGCGCAACGAGTCGGGTGCAAAGGCAGGAGAAGGGTGGATCCCTGGATGACCCGCATTTCATTCGCGTTTTCGGTCGATGGACCTTCTATTCCCAGGGATTGAATTTGTGGTTGAACAGAGATGCTGCACCATCTATTGAGCGCAGGCTGACAGACAAATTCGCAGTTGCAGCCTTGCAGGGGCAACACAACTCTACTTCGACTGAGCCACCTCAGCCACCTCAGCGCCCCTCGATATTTGCTCGTATGCACACACCTCGGCAACCTAGGCTGGCGCACCCTGTTTTGTATTGGCGGCACACGATCACTTCTTCTCCCATAGAGCACTTCTGCATCGCTTTAATCAAGCTGCCAGTTACAGAGGGTGGGGAGTCGGACCCTGCTGCAGGGTCTGCAGCAGGTACAATTCCCGGCTCGTGCGAAGATGCCCAGCAACTTGTTTCGCAGCGGGGGAGCAACGCCTCTGCATCAGATCCATTTTGGCTTTCTTGCGGCCCTGAGCTGCAGCTGAGCCGCCTAGCGAAGTATCTCACCTTCTCTATATCGCAGGAAAAGGTCAACCGGGTGCTCGCTGCTCTTGACTACAGCGTAGAAATATGGGAAGAACCGCACGGAGTGGAACACAGCACAGTGGTATCCGGACAGCCCTCTTCAGATGCAAAGACAGCAGAGCGTGGGACAGCAAACGAACAACGCGAGGTGGACGCTCCAACGGAGCAACGAGAAGCCTCATCCTTTCGTGGCGTGGAGGCACGGCGGCTTTCTGCAAAGCCTGGTGGGCCCTTGCTTGCTGCTTCTGCCCTGGAGAGGGTCTTCGTCACACGTTGGGTTACGTTGGGTTCTACTTATTCAAATATTGCTGAATGATCGCGAGTACGCCCAAACATAAGGATACTACATTGCACAAAGGGGTAGGAGCGCAGCCTGTTCCTTGCATTGGTTTTTCTGCAGACGCGCTCGTTGAAGGTCCTCCCAGGTGGCGCGTCGGGGTTTGCCTCTTGAACGGTCACAAGGGAAAAGGTGGGGAACAGGAAAAGATGCCTACAGGTGATACGAGAACTCGTGACGCCGCCGCCGTAAACGCTGCGACTTCAGTTCAATCGTCAGGAGAAAGAGAGCGGGAGGCTGCCGCCGCCAAGGCAGATACTGAGTTGCAGACAGAATTGAAAGAAGATGGCGAATCCAAGAACGAAACGGGAGAGAAACAAGCAGACAATGCGTCTTCAGAAGCAGCTCTTGTCGGAGAATTGAAATTTCACCTCTCGCCGTTCGTTGCATCGCAGGCAGATGACAGTCCACCAGGCGAACCTGAATCCATTCAAATTCGGCACTTTATTGATGCCGGGTGGATGTACACTCGGTATATCCGTACGTTTGCTTCGGACGCTTCCACGTGCGGTTGCATGAGGCAATACATCTGCACATGTTGACTGCTTCATGACACAGAGTAGAACGATCCTTGCATTCATCTTCATTTGGCGTTTCCTTCACTTGATGCACGTTAGTCAAACACTTCTGAGTAAACAGACTGACATTTCTGATTACTAAGCCCGTAGTGTAATTGATGTTGATGCTGCTTCTGTGCTTCGTTCTGTTGGCAGAAGGAACACATGTTTCGCGCTTTAACCGGCTGGCCATCAAGGAATCCCGTGGAGGGGTTACTCAGCCTTGCGTAGGTATGCCATATTGGGCGACCGCTTGCATTTGCTTATTCAGTTGGAACGTCGCTTTCTGGAGAGTGCTGTATGGTCAAAATATTAGCCTGCATGATGACAGCTTGTTGCCCCCCAAGTGTTTGCCCGCTTTTGAGGGAGTCATTTTTGTCTGTGTATCGCACTCAGGATTCTGGGACGAGCACAGTTTGCTTAGTGTGGCACCTGACGCGTATTCATGGGATGAAGAGACGCAGAAGGGCACGCTGAAATTTGTGTACGCCTTTACTTTCAGTGTTTCCTGAGGTAGTCGCATATTTTCTGATCGAAACATTAAATTCTACTGCTCGCTGGAGTTGCAGACATTGGTAGGGTATCTAAGTGGTGTCGTATCCGGATGGTTCATCAAGCGAGAACGCGCCACTGTGAATGCGTTATTGAGTCATGACACGTCCAAACATGTGCATGGGCTCGGCTTGTACTGTTAGGTTCGGCAGCTGGTTGAGGGATGGAGTGGACAATACCGACGCACTATTTGACGCTGCTCCTGCACACCATCCGACTGCCCGCATGCACATTTGTTTTTATCCGAATGAAGAACAGCCCTTCGGGTTATTTATGGGGGAAGTCCGATTTGTTGTGGGTGAGGTTTGGCGCCGCAGCTTCCCGCGACATCATTTCTGGCTTGCGTTCTGCAGACGCATGTATTGCCATTAATACCAAAGTGTACTTGTGTGCGGGCAGCATAAAATAGGGGCATAGTACCCCGTTGTATACTCCATACACTTACAAATTTGGGTTTCTCGGCCTGCTTACGTCAGGTTCTCCAGTGGCGTCCCTTGTTTGTTGCAGACTCGGCGGATGCAACGTTGCTCGTTTGTTTCATCCTCTTTGTTTTTTTAGCTCTTCCCCTGACTTGTGCGGTTGCTCTGTCGTTCCACGTGTATAAACATCGCCAGTACGTTGCAGTTAAGCCAAGATGAAGGAGTTAACACTATGTTGTGCTTGAGTGTTGTTATAAAATGATGGGAGACCGATCAAGCTCCCCCCCCCCCCCCACCAACCCCCCCCCGAAAGGTGGCGGCCCTCTGCTGTGGTTGCTATTGCTTGCGGTTTGTGGAGCAGCCTGCGCGAAAGGCTGCAGAGGCTTGTGCTTGTTCAACAGCGAGATGCGGTAAGTGAACCGGGCTAGCTGAGACAACTTAACTCGACTTAAATTCTGTGGCGTCCTGAAACCAGAGTCCCGAAGAAACGGGAGGCCGTATCGACTGTGTTGTTTGCATAGGTGGAACAACTTCTCATGCGCGAGCTGGGGCTTTCCACAGAAGATCAGGATGATGCAAACGATGAAGACGAAGACGAAGAAATCCATGCTTGAAATATGACTGCGGCCACCTGGCTTGTTATTCCCTACACGGCCTAGCCGGCAGTAGGGTTTCATGGCCGCCGTGGCAGTAGAGTTTTGCAGCCGCCCAGTGTCACACATTTGAATGATGTTGATAATATAGCGCCCCTTCTGATTCGTTTGTTTTCTGTGAATACTTGGATTCAGAAGGTCGGGTGGGTGAACTGTTTGGCGCTGGACATTGCCCAATGCAAGCTGGCTCGAGGCAAGATGTCTCGCTTTTATTTGTTTATATGCAAGGCTGTGAAAAATCTTTTTGGGTTGCTGGACGGTGTTCTGAAGTGGTATGCGGAGGAGAGCACGATTTCGTTTCCTTCTTTTATGGTACAAAGGCTGAGAGGCCAGAACAAATTCCCAACTGCACCTGCAACTAGAGGCGCGCTTCTGACCTCAGCACGCAAACTAGGAAGCAATTGCTCAAGCAAGTTTGACAAGTGTTATTAGGAGGGCACCTTAGAAAGTCACACCTTAGTGCGCAGCTAACCAGTTAAGCAACACCTTGCAGGCTAGTGAACGAGTTGCGACCAACCCACATTACTGTAGCGGTTGGGCTGTGGGACCTGGGGCTATGTGGGTTAGAGCCCTAGTGTTAGAACCAGCTGGGATTTAAGCGAGTGCCAATATCATATGACGCAGGAGTTGTTCGGAGGGTTCCTGTAAATATATCTGTAATTCGTGCAGTCAACTTCTGTATTTTGTTTTGATGCAACGCAGCGGGGTATGAAGGACGAGATAACGGACCTTGTGGCAAATGCATTGGGAGTTTGTCGTTTCGAGTGTACTGTGCTTAGCCTGTTTTATAGCTTCCAGCCTAACACCAGTTATTTGTGCTTTTTTGTAGACTGGGGCTTCAGAGGGGGCAGGTTTGTTAGCACTATTCGCGCGTGGCACGCAAGATAACGTTATGATGAATAGGGAATGCTTCAATGACGGTTTGCTTTCTCATGCATTGTGGCGGTATTGTTACATGTAATGATCCATTTTCTACCTTAAGTTGGAAGCCATGCAGCGGGTGATCGACTGTTCATATACTTCGGTCTGTCTGTTGTGAACGCTCCGTGTGATTCGGACTTCTGTTGGGATTTTTTCCTAATTGAACTCTGCTAATGCTCCTAAAACCTCGAGGGGAACTGCAGAACCAAGACGCTAGCTCAGTGCAACGGTCTTGGAAGGCCTAGAGTGGGGAGTTGGGTCTTACATCTGGATTCAACCCTTAATTTAAAGGGTTTCCGCAACTGTTCCTCTAGGAAGATGGAGGGACAGGATCACAAGAGCAAGAAGGCTTCAGCAGCCGTAAAGATGGAACCCCTGTTGGTAGCAGAATCGATCTCAGATGTTCTACTGGGCAAAAATGCGAAGCATCCCAAACATCTGTGTCTGCATGGACTCTGAACTGTTTAGAAGAGCGGGATGACTGCTCGGGTGTCCCGGACGTGACTCAAGGGAGACAGATGCACGACTTTGGGAGCCTAATGCACGACTTTGGGAGCCTCCATTATGAAGGATAAATTCATCGTTCAAAAACGGGTGTAAATATGCATAACAGCGGAACACATCTCCACGAGCAAACGGCTTTAGTCAGCTCCGCACACATGAAGTCAGCCACTGTTGCACAGAGCCTGTAAAAGTTTCCCAGTGGGCGACTCTGTTAAGACTAAATACGCGCAATTCTGGATTTTGACTGGGTTATGAATAAACAGCAACCGTCAAATATCGCAGCGTACTGCCTTGCTCCAAGGTCACTCATCGTAGAGGCAAGAAATCCTCCCATACGAGAGAATCTCTCGTCACACAGTCCGCAAGGGCGTGTTAATTCCAAACTGGCATTATCAAGATGGTTTCTTAATGCTCCTCCAACGGAATGTGGAATACGTTCATTTCTCTGCATCGAGGCCAGGATCCTCTCAAGTCAACCGTTCGCGAGGCGATCACATGCAAGAGTGGGAGTTGTCCAGCTGCTTTTTGTAGAAAGGCACAACTGCATATCCCCCAGAAATTGTTTAAGAACTTTTGATCTCCATCAATCTCTCTCACTGAATTGCCACAAAGACAGGGGAGGAATAACCTCTACTGGTAGAAGGACTTCCCCTCTGGTTTCACCACAGCAAATCAGAGAGTGGGTCCCAGCGTTCGTTCTGTGTCTTTGGCTCTAGACACCCTTCTGTAGGCATCGTTCTGTCTTGTATTAATGCTGCTATACTCATTGGGCTTAAGACATCCCCCGCGCCTCCGCGGTGTCCACCCTCGCCTTCAGGATGCGGCCTTCATCAATATTAACTGCCCTCGGTGAAACGGGATGAACTCCTACACAACTCCCTTGTACAAATAGGATTTGCCCGTGTGGTTATGGGTTTTGATGCTTCACTGAGACGCGCCAAAGCAACCGCAGTTATTTGTGCGGTTGTTGAACTCACCCATGAAACCTGTGCGGTGTCGAACGGTCATATGCATCTCTCTTCTCCTCTCTACAGTTTATTATGCCTTGGCCTGGCAGTTCCAACCCAAGGCGAAAGCTATAATTCCCCCTAGATTGGCTCCACACAGCATGCGCTGCAAATTCAGCATTGCCGGGCAAGTGCGAAATTCCCAGCCACCCGCAGTCTCCGCACAAGAATCAGAGGATCCCCACTCAGACTGCAGTGCTAAGACAGAAACCACAGAGAGAATGGCGAAACATGTCGGGGGAATGCGCATATTACACGAGGACGACGTGGTGATCGCATTGAACAAACCCGCAGGCATCCCCCTTTTCCCCTTACCTTCCAATTCAGGTACAGAATTCCCTTCCTGGTTTCTTTAGGCTCGATTCTGCCTAGCCATTCTATCTCTACCGGTGTACCTAGTTTCGCAACAGATTTATAGTTTGCTGCCATCCTTAATTTCTAAGTTGTGATGTCTTGTGCCGTTCACTGCGTTTTCAGCGGCGTCAGCAGCTACAGACTCAGACTCGGTAATCGAACGCGTCATTGCTCACTACAGATCCATCAGCGACTCCGTGCCGATTCCGGAGACATTGAAGAGCCTCTACACAGCCTCTGGAGTTAGTGGGGACGCCAGAGAAAGGGTCCCCCTCGAGACCGAGATCGGCTCGTGGGCCCCGACTGAAAGCCAGCAACCCCCTGGTGTGGATGCCATCGTACATCGGCTGGATCATGGGACGTCAGGCGTATTACTGCTAGCTAAGACTGCAGCAGCTGCATCGTCTTTGCGACAACAATTTAGAGAGAGAAGAGTTAAGAAAATTTATTTTGCTGTTATACAGGGGAGGCTAAACAGCCCAATGACGGTCACTTCCTGCATAGGGAGGGACCCCAACGATCGCCGTAAGATGCAGAGTGCTCGTCAGATCTGGGGTGTACATGGTGCTGCTACTCCTGTCGCTTCTGGGAAGCTACGAGGGGCTGTCACTCTATTCAAACCTCTTCTATTCAACAGGCAGTGGAGTGTTGTGCTGGCATCCCCCGTGACCGGGAGGACCCATCAGATTCGACTGCACCTTCAAATGCTAAAAACTCCTATAATTGGAGACCCTTTATACGGAGATGCCTGTGCGACTTCTGCATTTCTTGCATCCGCAGTCGCCCTAAGGTCAGAATCCCGTAGTAGGTCTTCTGCGGGGGTTCAACACGAGGGCCCCACAAAGACTCTAGGGAAGAAGGGACAACTTCGGCCGCTGTTGCATGCAGCAGAATTGTGCTGCATTCATCCTACGTCATCAGACGGCCTGCGTGTGCGCGCACCTCTTCCGCAGGATATGCGAGAGGCCATGACCGTCGTCGATCCCCTTTGGCCCGAAGTCCCCGAGCTTACACCGTTTGCCGGGGCGATCCAATAGGGGCCCAACGGGGGCCCCTTTCTTGAGCGCCTTCAGCGTTTTCTGCCAATGGCACAGCCTCAACGTAAGGGGGGCTCCTTTCGCTGCTGTGGTCAACCGGAGTCCGGTGATGCTGTCGACCTGCTGCATAACTGCAGTGCCAGCAGCCAGTTCCCGGCTGATGCGACATGCCAAAGCCTTAAACACACAAAAACGTTAAATGAATACTAAGGGTACAAAGATAAACTGACACAAGGATCAACTCAGGGCCTCGGCTGAGACCACTCTCCCACGTCCTCCTTCTGTCGCGGTATGTTGTGGATGTTGCTGCTGCTGCGGCTACTGTTGGGGCTTTTATGAGGGGGATTCGAATAGCAAAGAGGGCTTAACAAGCCGCATGCTCCCCAAGGGCCTCCTGCGTTCCTACCCCCACCCGGAGAGGGGGCCCCAAGGGCTCCCCCCCTACCCACCGCTACGGAAGCAAGCGGAGGAGGCCTCACACTGGAAGGGGTGATGCACCGGCAGTTCACAGGAGTGTATGCATTTAGGGGGCTTCGAAGTATGCCTACATTACTTCCCGTCGCTGCTGCTGTTGCTGGAGATTTGAGGGACATGATGAACGCCTGCTGCTGCTGCTGCTGCTGCTGGAGTAGAGCTTGGCTAAGGTGCGCCACCGCCTCCATGGGGGGAGCTCTTCTGGGAGGCTGACTGTAGGAGTGCACGAAGTTGCTCGACGGCGGCGACACTAGCCTTGCTGCTAGTGCTGCGTCTTGGTTCACAACAGCTCCCAGGGCAGCGCTCGTCCCTGGATATTCCCCCATGCTATCTGGGTAAAGAGAGGCCCCTCCTCTGCTCCAGTCTGCTGGTGGCATCGCTGCAGGTGACAGTTCTCTTGGTGGTGTGACAGCATACAGCGCAGGGCCCCCAAGGAGGGGGCATGGGGGCCCCCGTGGTCCCCCCAGTTCCATCGCTCTCTGGGGGCCACCGGGCCCCCACTCCTCCCGAACAAGAAGGGGATTTCTAAGACGAGCTCCGTGGGGCCCTCCTCCTCTGGCATCCGCTGCTGTGGGGCTGACTTTCGACTCAATCGCCAGCGCAGCTCCAGGCAGCTCAGACGGGGGGTCTCCCCCCGAGGGCCCCTTAGAGGAAGCATCCTCCCCCCACCTTTCTTTGATGGGAGAGCAACTGCGTCTTGTGCGGCTGAACACCCTACCGCTGCCACTGCTGCTCTTGCTGCGAGACGAAGCAGCCCACTGTTTCCTGTTTGCGTCTGCAGGTAGAACGGCATTCTGCTGCACCCTGCGGGGGAGAGGAAGGGGCCCCAAGACAGGGCCACCCTGCAGTCTCCCAACAGGGATAGGGTAGTGCCCGTAGTTGGGGCCTGTGTATAGTGACGTAGCGTGGGTGGGGGCCCCTCGTGGAGGCCCTAGGGGCCTCCCAACGACAGATAGGTCAACTGCTGACGCCGAACCCATGAGCCCCCCTCTGGAAGCACGAGATGCAGCAGCAACTGCTACTGCTGCAGCTGGAGCGGGCTTCAGGGCTGGCAGCAGACTCGCCGCAGATGCGGAGACTGGAAGCCCTTCAGGGGGCCCCACTAAAGGGGGACGTCCCTTAGAGGGGCCCCTCTGGCGGCTGCAAGGCCCCCTGCTGCTCTGTTGTTGGCGCTGCTTGAGAGGAGGTAAGACCACGCCTGTTCTGGGGGGCTTTTCACAGCAAGACTCGAACGGGCCTCCGCTGTTAGACGGCAGGCAGGACCCCCAGCCTCCTTCTGCATTACAAGGGCTGCTGTGCTGCTGCTGCCTTAGCTGAGGCACAGCAGGACGCAACACAGCTCCCCGTATCCTTTCAGCATGGGGGGGCAACTGCAGCACAGGAGCTCCCCTGTCCTCCCGCTTCGTAGCAGCACCCCATAAAGTCTTTGTTTTCCCCACTGCTGACGTCGCGGGGGCACCCATATAGGCTGCGGGGCCCTTCGGGCCACCCACTGCTGCTACCGGCGAGACGCCGGCGAGATCCCTTTCGGGAGGGAGAGTGAGTTGAGGCTCCTTTGCGGCGGGGGACTTGGAAAATGCTTTTTTTACCGGTGATACATCCACGTACTTGAGGGCCTCCACCCTTTCTACGAGGCCCTCAGGCTTCGCAGCGACGCCGGCTGGCCGCTGGGCTTGCAGGTGCCCTGCAGCAACATGCAAACGCAGCAACGGGCACTTTGACAGGCAGATAGCATGTATGCATGAGACGGCGCATGATTACACTCTTGTGGGGGCAAAAAATCAAATGCACAACCCGCACGGGTGTGTGGGAAAGCCCCTCCCCAATCCCAAACGAACAACCACGATGGGCATTGGTCTCACTTTCGTGCGCCTGCAGCAGTCCTTCTGTAAATGCACCCAGGTTTTCGCGGAGCCTTTCAATTTGACGCTTTAGGCTTTCGAGCTGGGCTTCGCTGCTCGGCAGAGGCGTCTCCACATCAACAAGGGGCAAGGGGGGCAGCCGCTTTTCCTGTTGCAAAAATGCCAGACCTGCTGCTGCTGCTGTAGTTCCAGCGGCTGGCATCTTACCAGCTTCATCATCTCCGTGAAGGCTTTCCGGTGGTCTGGGTGACACGATGGCCGCTGCTGCAGCAGCAGCAGCAGACGTCGCACGACAAAGGGCAGCTGCCCCTTCCAGCCGCTGCTGGAGTTCCTGTAGCCACCACAAACACCCGAAAGTCGAGCATACCATCGGCTCTATGGGTCATAACAAGGGGATTATAAGAAGCTCGACTGTATGCCCCTGCAAAGAACAGCCCGTTGGGTTTTCGTGAAGAGCGAGCCGCTTCTGTACAGTGAACCGCAGGCAACGTAGGAAATATATTTGCTTGAATTCAGGTGGCCTTTACTTGCTGTGTTGAGAGGTCGAGAGAGTCTTGCTCGGCAGCTAGTGCGTTTCTTAAGGCCGTAAACAATGCATTGAGACGGGCCTCCAGAGCAGAGTCAGAAGAGGCGGAGAGGATAGGGTCCTCCTCCTGTAACAAAAACGGAAAACTAACCACAAATTTATTTTCTTTCGTATTTCTCTGCAGCAGGGCTCGGGAGCTGTTTCCCGTGGGACAGGCCAAACTTAGCTTTCCAACAATATGAAGTGCACTTCCATCTCAGACGTAGGTGCTGTGTTGCCTTGGCTTGAAGATACTGACTCGATGGCTTGCGGGCAGAGCGAGACGTGGCCTCATCAGACGCTGGAAGAAACTGGACATGACCTCCTCCGCAAGCGCAACAGCTCCTCTCAGCCCTTCGCACTCCGAGCTCAGTTTCTCCTGAAGTCCCCAACGCATTCAGTATGAAGCAGCTCGAAACTGATGAGCTACCCACGGAAACAGCAACAAAGAGGGTCTGTGGCGGCGCTGACAGACGGGACAGCAACAATAAAACCATGTCGCCCACACTCCCAAATGTCCAAGCATTATACTCCTCTAAATCGTCAAACGCAATTTGTGTAGTGCATCTGTCCCGTCTGCTTACGAGTTGCTGCCTGAGAGTCTGGTTGTCCAGCGCAAGCTGTCTGTTCTGCTCGGACTTCTGCCGAATATCTGTGTGGTACTGCCGCTTGAGGATCTGTTCCAGCTGAAAACTCTCCTCCGCCATGACCCTCTGCAGGATAACCAACACCTCAAGCCCTAGATCCTAAACCCTAGAGACCCTCTTTCTCTAACAAACCCTGAACCAGCTAGCAAGCAAAAATAAAGAAAACTGGTGCTGCTGATGATGCGTTACCTTCTCGTCTTCTTGCGCCTGAATTTTCGTAGAGAGTTTGTGTAGCTGGTCTAGTAAATCTTCGTCGGGTGCCTACGGAGAGCCCAAAGCCAAAAACTTAAGATATTCGCATGCATGCAGAGAAGATCCTCAACTCAACTGTGTGGGGCTTCCTTTGCATGCATGTCTCACCACCGCTATGGGGCCATCCGGATCTTCGGTGCCCCTTTGAATGTCGATCGTCTGCATACGTTGCTGCAGCAATGGGAGGCACAGCAAAAGGTACACAAACAGCCCATAAAGCAGCAGCAAGAACAACAGCATCGAGTGGAAATGCAACGGCAGCAAATGGTGGAGGACCAGCAGCACCTTGTAGCAATGCGAACTCACATCATGCGCCCTTTGTAGGTTTAGTGGCAAGAATGCTCTCTTAGGTTCTGATTGCCTTCTTAGTTGTTGCTGCTGTGGTTGCCGCTGCAGCATGCCAACTATGCTGCCGGCTGGTGACAACAGAGACCGAGCAGAACCCGGGGCCCCCCGAGACCGGAAAGTGTCCTGGAGGGCCCCTGTGGTGGCCCTTCTCTCTGTTTGCGGCGGCTCCAGGGGGGAAGACTCCGCTTCTGCCGCTGATGCCTCCAGTAGAAGGGCGCCTTCAGAGCGTCTACTGCTGTGGGGAGGTGCACAAGGAGCCCCCCGTTTTCCTCCACAGGGGGGCTCCTCAAGAGGGTTGCTTGCAGAAACCATCCTGGAAGAGGAACCAGCCTTGGGACCCTCATGCCCCTCATCTTGCGCCTTGTGAATGGCAGGGTCAGTAGACGAAATCCTTAGGGACCCTCTTGATGGGGCCCCTTGAGAAGGCCTGTTACTTGAGGGCGCCGTGGGGGGGGCTCTGGGATGCCCAGCAGAAGATAACAACCGGTCCGAGGGCTGCGAAAAAGCCCCAGATGATTCCTCTGTACGCCGCTGGAGACCTTCATCTCCACCCCGCGCTTCAGGTGTCTGTACACCTGAAAGAGGTATGGAGGAGAGTCGAGGAGTGTTCCCGTTCGCATACCTTTGATCTTGTTCTTGTCTGTGAGCAGACACTGCTTCGAAGAAGTCGTCTGCTGCCTCAGATGCTTCTATTGCAGCAGATGCTGTGATTGACGGCGCCTTTGCCGCAACCGGAACGGGTGGTGGTGCTGCTGCTGCAGCTTGAGCGGCAGCAGGGGCAGGTGAGAGTTCCTCCTCTTCTACATCACAGGGGGCCCCGACCGCCATTCTGTGCACAAAACCTACGTCCCTCCAGAACGGTCGCTGAGTAATTCTTTCTTTTAAACCTTAAATCCTTGCCAAGTTAGGGTAAGCCTTCAGAACCTTGCCCTACACCCTACAGAGCAGGATGAGAAAAGGACCAGTACAATTCCCATGCAACATTCGTGGTGTTGAGCGAATGCTGCTTCTCCTTTGGCCTTCGATGAGACTCTCCCCTCAATCATCTACCTCCGAGCTCAGGTGGGGCCCCCCTGTGGCCCCAGGGGCCCTCTGAAGGCAGGCAGAGCGGGACGGGAAACTGTGCTGTTCCGACAGACTGGCAGGGGCGGCAGGAGCAAAAATGAGGAAATTCCAGTGCCCTGAGGGGCAGCTTGAGAATGAGTGAAACATAAGTCAATTACCAGAAAAAATAAAGGGAAGGGAAGAAAAGGGCCTTTGCTGGAGCAGCGCTTTCGGTGTCTGTGTGCCGCAGGCGGCAAATTCCGGTCCGAAGGGTCAAATAAAAAGAAGTCAAGATTCATTTTATTTCCCCGTCATTTTTACAAATTCATTTTGTCTTCGCCTGAAATCTGGGGAAACAGAACCAGTGAACACTTCCAGCTGCAGCACCACCTGCCCAGCGCGGCCGATAAAAAAACCAGCCGGCGGCCGCCCGCTCATCCGTGACGACCTGGGATGTCTGTGCACCTCACCATACACTAGGTAATTAGAATATCTAGTAGACATCCATTTCTTTATTTCCTATCTCAATTCCTGCTGGGGAGACCTGGTTTGGGGCATATACTGCTGCCGAGACAGGTCCTAGGGGCCCCGGGCACCCCCTACAGTGGATCCGATGATTACCTATTCCTAAGTCCTAAACCTCTAAGCCTAGCAGCAAGGCGCTGAAGAGGCCTGTCTCTTCCAGTTTTAAGAGGTCCTCTGCAGGTTCGTAGGCAGCACGTATGGAAACGGCCACGGCGAAGGGGGCCCCTTCTCTCTGGGGGCCCCCCAACACGTTAAGCTCTTTCTTGCTGCAGGCCTTTGCCTGCCCGGCCCCCTGGTCTCCTCATTACGTTCCTCCAGGCATCCGCAGTTCATTTATTTCGGCTGGATTCCCCTTCCGCCGTCCTCCAACGGGTGCCACCAAGAGCCTGAGGGCCCTTGGCGAAGTCTTAAGTGACTGCACCCTCACGGCGGCGGATAAACAGTACAAGTCCATCCTGACATTTGGCAGTTACAATAAATTCGAGAAGCCGAATCTCCTGGAGTTGTTGACCTGCGTCACCCTAATAGGTGTACGACTAGCTGAATGCAACAGAATATGTGGAGAGGCGTCCATTCTGATCACAGCAGGAGTGGATGTTGATACAGATATATAGTGTGTATAGATATACGTGTGTCTATTTGTATACATAATTGCATATACTGCATGTTCATGCATACTCATGTCTGCATATGTGTATAAAGATGCGGAGGCGTGCAAGGTAGACTGGCTTTTCCGGATTGCTGCCTTTTTGCCGGATTTATGTCTGTCTCAGGTCTCTCCTTTGGTGGCTCAGCAGCTTGTTTTGCTTATAAAAAACCGGCTGGGGGTCTCAATGTCTCGTCCGGTATCTCTTTGGTGTCTTCTTTTGCTGGTTTTGCGACGGCTGTTCTTACCTCTGTGTGCGCTGTTTTTCGTGTATTTTTATTTATTATTACCGCCTGTATCGCTGTCTCTGGTGGCAGCAGCCGCTGCTGCTGCTGCAGCACTTTTGTCTCTTCCCGCCGCTGCTCCTGAGGCGCTGAGCCCTTTTGCTTGTTGCTTTTTAATACCATGTTACGCCTTCCTCTTTCCTGTCCCTATACACGTCGTTTTGGGGATTCAACTAATCATCTGCGCCTTAGCGACATTCATGTAGGTGCACCCCAAAAAAACGCCAAGATGACGGAGCCATCATTCAAGAGGCCCACCAAATATATACACGCAGCTGCACATCAGCAACATTTGTGTGTTCGTGCATATCACCCTTCTATGTCTACCTCAGTTTGGTTGCGTGCAGATGTGGGCGTGTGTTTACCTGCTTACCAATGCTTTCGTGTTTGTGCGCGTGGATGTGGGTGTCTGGGTACTTAAATAAACATGCATAGCCTGCATACTTGGATAATATATCAAACCTCATACATATGTAGTAACGTGTGAAAACGACAGCATAGATGCATGGCAGCGTGTACACATACGCATGTTCATATGCACGCGTGAATAGTACAAATCAAGTTCTTGCGTAGGCGCGCATTATCATCTGCGCGAAACTCCTGGCAAACGGCATGCTCTAGCAGCTCCATGGGCACATTCACGCTCAGACATGGATACATTAACGAAGCTTTACAGGATACGGTGGCCAGTACACTAAGCCTAAAGACCATAAACTCGAAAAATGTTCTGTTTGCGCTGCCCTTACAGCTGTCAAGGGATTCCAGGCACTATCTCCTTACAACGCTTGCAGTACGTACATCCAACGAAGACTTTGTGGCCTGTAGCTCACCATCATTGGCTGCTACAGTTGGCCATCTTGCTGTTGCTGATGCTGTAGCTGACGCTTGCTATGACAGCTGCTGCTACCGCTGCTGCCTCAGGTTGCTTCAAATGGTACAATAATAAGCTTTAATTGGAGTTGTGCAGTTGATTGTTTGACTAGCTGTCCAAAGTTTTGTGTTTTTGTTCTTCAGAGGAGGAGGTGAACTCTCGACGCTAGGGAAGAAGTGAGTAGCGAGAGACTCGGCTTCTGCTGCTATTTCTGCTTTTACGTCTCCGATGTTTTCATCTATTGCTGCTTCAGTTGCGTCCCCTCCTCCTTCTATGCCCCCGCCATCACTTGCTGCTGCTTCTGCGCCTGATGCTGCGGCTGTTGCTGCAGCCGTGGGCATTTGGTGTCATTTGCAGACCACCGCTCCATGCAGATGATTGTCACCTGCGCGGGTGAGTCCCCCGTGGTTCATCCCGGATATCAGAAAGGGTTTAAGCAGTGCTTACTTGCTTTTTTCGCCCAGGGGTTAGGAATTAGGGTTTCGTGCATGCAAATCACGACTTGGTATTCGGGGTTTGCGTTTTCAGCTATCTTAGGCGTTGATTTTTTGACTTTTCCGCGGAAGTTCTGCAAAAGTATCAACTCAGGAGTGACCCTAGTGAGGTCCTAGAGGTTATGACTTAGCTTTAGTTGACTTACTGATGCCCACTTCTTAGCCTCCGGCCTAGGTATTGCTGTCGTGGGGGGGGGGGCTCCTCGTTTTGGTTTGACAGCGCCCAGATATTTAGATTATGTGGCCCACAGGTTTAGGGTAAAAGGTCTGAAGTTTGGGGTGTTTGTGTTTGAGGCAGATGGATTTAGGAGTTGGGGGCATTATCTTCACTTCAGGAATGGTCTCTTCACACTCAAAGGGTCTGCTGCTGCACATACGTTGAGAGTTTACGCACTGCATGCAAACGCAGTTACAGCAAGCCACTTGGGAACAGGCCTCAAAGTCTCAGATATGCTGTACCCCACATGTTTATGGTGACCGGGGTGCTGTGTCCCCCTTTAGTTCAGCGTCCCTTCATTCGTCTTGAGTGATATTTTCGAAATTCCGTCCCATCTTCTGGGATTTGCCAACTCCCTTTTTTCTGTATTCTTCTGTTTAGGTTGCCCTAACAGGCAGGAATCGCTGTGGGCCTATGTGAGCCGCGCAGCCCTTCACAGCGGCCCGTTAGGTATCTTCGGGCTTATTCGCCTCATTTTCATGTCGCTGACAAATCTGCATGTAAGCTGCAGCGTCCTCCATTACTGCAAAGCCCTAAACGGATAACTCTAACCTCTGCACTTAGCCTATATGCAGGCGTGCCCAGGTGTAGCTCACTTCTCCTTTATGAAATTAACATCGAGGCCTAAGATTCCAGCAGCCAGGAAGGACGATAGGAGACTTTCTGCATCATCGGTCCTTCTTTGATGCGTCCGTCTCTTGCCCCCCCATTGCTTCCCTCCCTCTGCCTGTAATGTTTCGTTGCACCCGCGTGACGCTCTTCCATGCTGTGTTCTGCTCATTACTGTTGTGCGTATTGTCTGTAGGTCTCCGAGACAGAATACGGCCTGCATTGGAATTTTTACATGACTCTAATGGTGGTTTTCGTCTGTAGGCATCCAAAATTGTCAATACCAAAGCCTTTGACCCTGAAATCCGAGGCCCTTCTGCTTGGAGATGGTTAAAATGAATGCTCAGGGTTCTGTTGTTCATCTTCTAGCCTTTAGCAGCCTCGTATATGAGCGGGCTGTTATGTGCTTCTCATTTTGGCAAATTAGGAAATCCCGTGTTGCTGTGTTGTACTCAGTGGGCGAGTTGGTATGCGTCTATAGCGGCCATCCTTACAAAGCTGGAGCAATCGGTCTACTGCTTCTTATTTGTGGGTTTTCATTTTTCGGATGTCTGCACATTCTAAAGCTAACAGGCCTACGCTGATTTTGTAACCACTCAAATGGAAAATTCAGCTACATGCAGGATGGTAGTCATGCGGCTTCGAGGCGTGGGTCATGGCTCGGCGGCAACCATGACCCGATATTTTGCAGAGTTTAGGGTCGTAGAGAATGGACGATTATTGCCTATGCCTTACGACTTTTGCGGGCAGGCTATCAGATCATTATTTCCGTCGGTGATCTTGACGACTGGATGATGGAGGGGGCGCGAACAAGTGAGCCTCAAGCATTAGGCGTTTGCATCTTAGCAGTAATTCGATTAGGCTTGGGCTTAATGCTCCAGTATTTAGATTGTGCGTCGCCGACTGGTTGCAGATTTCTTCTCGTCCAACAGGGAGGGGATCCTCGGGTCTGTAGGTAGGTACTAAGGTGGCTATTTGGTGTTTTCTCCCCCCACTTTCATCTTTGTTCCTGTACTGTTGGGGAAGCAGCCAATTGCAACTTGTGCGTAAAAGGCACCGACATGCAGTCTCGCATTTTCATTATGTTGCTTTTGTCACGTACTTGTTGTGTATGTGTGGTTATCTCTGTACTTTAGGTTTCCTTTGCTTGTTCTTGATTGCCGTTGCTTTGGGACATTTCGTAGTCACGCGGTCACCGACGCAGCAAACAAGAAAGTCTAAGTAAGCAATGTTGCTGGACATCATAGTTGGCATTCACCCCTCGATTATGTTTCTTTCTTCGTTGCTTTCCCGCCTGCAGTGTCTGGTTGTCGCCGCCTCTCCTGCATGTTTTCCTCGTTGTGTTTGCTTTTTATGTCGCCTGTTGTCACGTGACGTTATGGCCTCTCTCTATCCTCTTCCTTACAGGACCACCAACAAGCGGCTGAATTTACTTTCCCTCGTTCTGCACCTCTACTTGTAGGTTATTCAGTCGGCCTCCACCTTTACAACGTACCAGGTGTCCAAGCTCTGTTGCATTTTTAGTTTCGTTGATGCATTTGTGTGGCATATGCAACACAAATGCATCAACGAAACTAAAAATGCAGCGGCGTTTTGACCCCCTATTTCCGCTAGGGTGTCGGTATTTTACCATCTTCTCCGTGTAATCAGTGCGTGTCTTTTGTGCAACTCAGTTTCGCATTTCTGTTCATTTCTTTTGGTTTGTTGTTGCAAGAGGGCATCGGTCTTTTGGCTCGACGCCGCTTTGTTAATCTCACATGGGTGGCCTTCGTTGGAGGCATTGAACTATTCGCTGTAGGCACAGCAACCCTCTCAGATGCGCTGGCTGGTGAGCGCTGGTCTTTGTACAGCATTTATGATGAGTGATCATGAGATGCTCAGCATTTTCAGTTGTCAAAGGCACTTTTGGGAACAGCACGTTAGTAACTATTCTTTCCTGCGCTCTGCTTCTGTGCGTACAGCCCGTGTGTGTCCGCAGTGGTCACTTAAGGGAACCAACGACAATCAGCTGATCATCTTTCTGCTTGCTAACGTCTGTGTGGGGGCTGTTAACATATCTATTCGAACTTTGTTACAGCCTGCAGTTGTGGTGTGGTTCATCATGACGAGCTACATGCTCATTCTGTTTATCTGCGCCCACCGCCTAGGTGTTGCAGAAAAGCGCATACGAATCTTGTAAAATTCTCCATAGTTAAAAGGTGGGAACAAATGGTGGCGGCATTCTATGCTGCCAACTAGTAGGCAAGTGGTGGCTTGGAGGGGGAGAACAGACAGGTTGCCTTGCCTCAACGGCACTGAATTGCCAGTACCACGTTGCATTGTCAGCGCATAAAAGAACATTCTACACGATGATACGAGCTTTGACTTATGCTCGGGCCATCAAGGCCACACGTTTTCTTTTACTGCAAACTTGCGCCGAAAAAGGCGTGCTTGTCCTCTTGAGAGGACCGTCTTTTGCCACACATAATGCGTCAGTGATGTTTGCCTACAAACTGCTTTTTCCTACATATAAAAGGGCTAGGCAGACAGTTAGCAGATCAATTGACCTCCTCGATGGATGCTATGCACGAGTAGGGGATGAGGGGAATACGACAATAGCAATATCTTGCCGTCTGATTAGCCCCTAGCAGCATATCCCTCCATGAGGTGGTACACAGAACGAAGAAAGATTCGCGTCCTACAGAACCCACTAAACGTATAATAGCTACCGTCTGATGAACCAAACAGTTCTAACCAAGCAGATGTATTTAAGTCAGTTATGTGGGAGAAGTCACAATAGTTCTAGGTGTACAAGAAGGAAGATATATTTTCTCACTCTGACCGAAAAGGGAGTAATCAGTGTGATGGTAAATTGCTGTCACATGCTGTGGCTGTGCAAAGTGATGGGTATTCCGACGGAAATTAATCCGAATAGATTTGGGCTAGTTAGACGCGCTGCTCCGTACAGCGTGCCCAGAACAGGTGTCCAAGGTGTACGCATATATCGAGAAAAGCCCAATAGCTTTTGAGTAGCAAGAAGAGCATTATTTGTAATACTTCCACAGGCGTTGGAAGCAAGCAGTAATCGCCGTGCATGCACTGTCGAGGTGGGCCCCACAATATTTTTTATCGGGCCTTCATATGAACGGTAAAAGAAATACTTGCAAAATAGTTATTTTGTATTTTATGAATTATTTATGGTAACAGAAAACGGGTGGGTGCTGCACTAGTAAGCCTTATGTGCGTGCTCTTCTGCTCTTCCCGGCTGCCTGCCCTGTCTTATGACTTGCCTCCTCACACTGAAACATTTGAGGAGTATGTAGGGGCGGAATAAGTCTTCGTTCAGTTATTTAAGCATTTTCGTGTTTTAAAGCTGTCTAAGGTTCTTTGTATCCCGTTCTGACGTCATCTCCGCCTCCACCTCTTTCGGTGATGGGGTGTGTCTACGTACTTCTACGCCGAGTGGTTGTTGCCTGACCCCTAAGATGTTTTTTCTCTCTCCATGCCTGCTGCGTAGTCGTAGCAAGCGTCTTCTAGTGCAGCTGAAAAGCGCCGCCCTCTCTAACTTCTTTTATATGACGCACAAATCACCGAGCAAAAAGAACACGAGGATTGCACTTAGAAAGCATGATCCAAGGGCAGGAAAACACGTGTAAGGTGCATGCATATCGCGGCGCCTCTGTGTAAATGCGCCTGGATGCATTTGCTCGTATGCTTCCCACCAGTTGATATGCGAAGTTTCTGTGTATCGTGGCAGTCTAGACGTGCAGCTTGTCAGGAGTTTCTGCTGTCGCTTCTCGAGGAGTTTATGTAGATGTATTGACTTATGTGTTATTGTTCTGTAATTTTATTTCTGTATTTCAGAATGTTCTATGAGACGCGCCAGCCGCCAGAGGGCTCGAAGAAGCGACTGACCCTTCATATGCAGAAATACATACACTGGACAGGGAAGAACATGAAGCTCATGGCGAAGAAGGTTGAGAGAGCCTGGGAATACGGGTCTTTTCAAAAGTACTTCGACGAAAGATATCCAACACTAACAGACACACGGGGGAGGTGAGGCTGTAGCATTTTTGTTTCTGCAATAAAAGAGTGCGCAGTTTCTGTGCATCGTTGCAGAGGTGCAGCTTGTCAAGAGTTTCTGCTGTCGCTTCTCAGTGAATTGCCAGTACCAGTACCACGTTGCATTGTCAGCGCATAAAAGAACGTTCTCCACGATGATACGCTGCTCCAGTGGCTGGTAGTCAAGCAAGCAGGTTCATGCGACGGTTGATGCTGGTCAGTGCTTCTGTATTTATGCATTTCCGCTGGACATGGGTCTGTTGTGCCGCAGGAGTCTGCCACGCATGAAGTGAAACTTTTGTTGCCGCTGTAGTTGAATTCTGCTACGTCCGCAGCAACAGCACCGGCAGTGGCACCGAGTACATATCCTTCTTGTTCTAGAATACAGTGATTACGGCTAACTCAGCTAGTGTACTGGGCTCGGCAGCGCCTTTCTTGCCCCCCCATCCCCACCCCCACACCCCATGCGAATGATACCTCGGCATGCATTGTGGGTTGCATGGATGATATATATATGCTCATATATAGGCAAGCTTAACTATGGGTACACACTTGGCGCGCCTGCGGAGATAGGCCTTCGCGTGGGTGATAGTGGATTCAACACACCGACTGCTGCAATTCCTACAACAGACTGCGTGCACCTTGGCTTTTCTGTGGCTAGCTGACCAGACTTTAAAACGTCATGATATGCTTTTTCTGAGTGAAAGGTGAAGAGACATCTGTTTTTCTGTATATTACCAAAAAATTGTTTCAAATGTATGGGGCATGCAACGGAAGGAACAGCATTCACCTTGGCGAGAACCAGTCACCAGTTCCAGCTGGAAAGAGCATTAGAGTTACTCAAAAGGTATTGGGGTGGGCCTTTTTGTGACAATTTTGCAACGTATTGGGAACAGATTAAAGCACTTTTCCTTGTGAAAAGGGGATATTATGAGGAAGCAATGGCACAGATGTAGCCGTATTGACAAAAGAAGGACACAAACAAGGAAAGTCAAGGCTCAGTAATATTTATCCTCCCCCTCCACACCCATCTCATCCTCAAGAAAGCAAATTCGGCGAAGAGTCATGTAGCACTGCGGCGGCATTGAGCCTTGACACGCACAACCTGCCCATTAGCGGCAACCTTTGATTAGAAGGCATGTAGCTGCTCTTACCTCACCATTTCTTCAGCATACCAAGAACCCGGGAAGTGTGACTGCACAACTCGCCTTGTAGCTGTGATGGGCGTGGAGGACACAAGAAGCACTTTCCCTCATAATCCCGTCGATGCTCTATTGCAGTTCGTACAGAAAATGGGTCCGGGTGCATGCACTTCGCTCAACTACTGCAGTGGATACAATGGCTGCTAGCGCTCAGCGTGATGCATGGTTGATTTGACTGGTTTGGGGATTTAGGAAAACAACAATTCAGCGATAAACGAAGACAGAAAACAGCTCAGTGACATCAACAATATTACTGTATTTCAGGGATAAGCACAAGAGAAGGTTGTGCGTCCTAAATTTAGTGCGTGGCAATGGTAATCCTCGAATAGTGCATAGATGGAGGAAAATATTGAACGTTAATTTTGTTTAGTGGAGGTAAATTGACACGTCGTCGATGCCCCAGGATGCTGTGCATGGGTTTGCCTTCTTTGGCATGGTGCTGCGGATGAACGAATGTCAGCTGGCAAGGAGGGAAGGACAAGAGCATCCCCCTACCTTCCGAAAGAGAGTAGGAGCGCGGGTCCTGTGTGGCTCAATTCGATCTCCACAGGCACCTGCAGCAACAGAATCCTCACATTCCGCCTCAACATGGGCTCTCCAACGCAGCAGAGGCAGCAGAACAGAGACGCACTGACAGTCTGTCCGGGTAAGAGTGGCCGCAGCTGTCTATTCCTCTCCTTGCGCACACCTTAGGATTTGGGGGCATCAAAATCAGGGCGTCAGGAACTCTTAACTCTAAAAGGTTGACGCACTTGGGGGGCCCTCTATATTAATTGCAAGATGAACGGAATGCATTGAATCTGCTGCTCAGCTAACGCAGTTTGTCGACAAACTCACTTGCGGGCACCAGTTAGACGACTCTAGTCCATGAATGCCAAGGTAAATCAATGTGAAGAACTGGGGTACTCCGAGTTCCATTTTTCCCTTACTTGTCCAAACTATTGTGCCGTTGATCTTCACATAGACGCTTTCCCCTAAAACGGTATGTGGATGTTACAGCGAAATAGAGAGGGGTCAACCCATTGCTTCACCTTCCCATTTGTCGAAGAAGTGCACACGGGCCTTCACTTTCAGTTTTGCATGCTCTGGCAGGTCCAAGTACGCAGCCCGAACGGTCTTACCCGCCAGCTTACTGAGGCTTGTCGTTGCACTGGGTTGATGACCTGCGTGGCCAAGCTGCCGTACCAGTGGCCTCCAAGGAATTTGTCATATGACCCCTCACAAGAGCTTGTTGACTGTCAGGGAAAAGAAACGTCACCCCCATAGACGCACGTTCAGTGAATGCGCCTTACGGTGTATGACCATGTGCCGTCTGCTGGTCCCCCATCTTGAAACGTGTTCAACCGGGCCAGGTACCTGCAGATTACTTCCTTTAATACAGCAGAAGGGCTCGTGAAAACGACGCCATGAATCACCACTCGTTGTTCCCAGCTGAAGAAACCGGTTCCGTCGAGGACAAATACCCCGCTAGTGTGGTCGGCCCCAGCTGAACGAGATGCCTCCCATCATTGACAGATATTAAATGAGTCTTTGTTCCAGACAATGTGAGCGCGTGGCCATCCCGATACAATGATATCGGGCCTGTAAGGGTTATCCAAAATAGCACCAAAGGTGCCTGTGGTGCTGCTGCAGCCACGTCGCTGCCTACCTCTTTCCATACGGTCGAACCGAATGAGCTCAGCTACAAAATGGGGCCGCGGTTTCTCGAAGACACTTAAGCTTGGTAGAAGATTCGCTCCGTTCAAATGCACACGTGCGCCGTTTTTCGTAGAATTCTGAACACGCACCCCTTGAGCAGGGACTGCATGCCGTCCGTGGTGGACTATACATGCAATAACAGTAAACAAAAATGTGCACTCATGCATTGTGGTTGTGGCTTTCTCGCGAAAGGGGGGCTGGTGGTGTTTTTCTCCCTATGCGGTTTGCCTGGCGCAAGGCGCATCCGTGTAAGGTGTATGTACGCTATGGTGTACTCCGCTTCCTAAGCTAACGCAGGTGACCGTTGGCACACAAGTATATTACACACATGGTACCTCAGAATGCAAACATGTGTGCGAACTAGGCAAACAGAGGTGCCTTTTTGTGAGTTGGTGGCTTCATGGCTAGTGGGGGTCGGCTTACTTAACAAGAGCTCAAATGCCGACGCCTTGGTACAACACATACCGAAAAACAAGCAGCTACATTCAGACTGAACTTAGGTTTGGGGATTGTGTGTTTGCTTGGCAAGTTCGGTAGAAGGAAGCTCGTCTGTTGCACGAATTTGTGCTTATCAAGATATTCCGCCTTCTACCCCGTTACACCGTCGAAGCCTCCCAGAAAGCAACAGACGACAAGGCAGAAGTTATGAGAGAAAGATCATGTTAGAGTGCTTTCAACGGCTGAAGAGTGCAACCCATTCCACCATGAGCACAAGGCATAGTCTGGCAGAAAGACAGGACATTTGTTCCATACAATGCGCCTGCCATACAAATACCACGTACAGTACGGACAAGATATTTGTTCCACATAAGTTGCTTGCCATAGAAACACCACATACAATACAGAAATGCACTGTAGTCACATTTACTGAGTGAAGCTGCCTGTGTTCGAATCACTCTCAGGCCACGGTTTAAGGGATAAAAACTCCAGTGGAGGTGGACGGAGTGCTCCACCAGGCAGTTCGTCGTCGAAACACTAACGAAGTTTGTTTTACCCAACGGGGGAGACTTGAAATAATCGTGATTTCTCCTAGTGCATTTATGGGTGGGTTTTCAGTGTGTAGTTTGTTTCGGGTACTTCGACTCGAGGGTAATTCCTCCTCGCATACAAAAAACAACCATGGAGGCATTTGCTGTCTAAATGCCTTACCCCTCTTGTACCCATTGAAGCTTTAGAAGCTCGCATTTCCTTGCTGAACTGTGTCTCAGCATTTGCTTAGACAATGAGAGTTTGCGTGATTGTGACTTTGCCGGATACTTCAATTCCTCTGTAGGAATTGAGGAATCCACTTATTTGATACTTCAGTGCAACAAGATGGCCTTGCTGTAGGCTGAAAAGTACTCCAAGGAGGACTTAGCAAGAAGACATGAGCAATGGAGCCGAAGTGTATAAATGATGTACACTGCCTCCTGTTTGTCATGCTTGCAGACCGGCTTGCAATCTGCTCACGTTGAGGCATTACTTGCGACAATGTCGCCACCTACTCTTAGGCATAACCAGGGTTCGTGTTTACTCCTTTACAGCATAATAGCCCTTTCTGTTTGCTTTCGCTACGCCAAAAGGCGTTCTTTTGGGGCTCAATCAGCTTGCAGAGTTCGTCAACATCGGCCTGTGCTTTCCTGCCGGTCTAAGCAAAAAATTCTTCTCTCATAGGCTAAAACGTGCCTAGAGTGTTGATTGGATTCCCTAGGAGATAGATACTCGAACAAACGCACGCATAAAGGACATGTGCTGCCGACTGTACCTATGCCGACAGGCTACTGTCGTGAAAGGCCCATGTCTAGCTACCTTTGGCCATATACACAGGGCTAATCACTTAATGTAACTGGTTTGATTCAAATTGGTCAATGTTTAAACCGTGTAATCCACTGTTTTTTCCCTGACCAGCGCTCTGTGGACCGGCGGCAACCAGCTCCGGCGAAGTACACTTTCCACCTTCCGTAGGAGTCCGTAGTCCCTGAAAAAGACCAAAATAGGTCTAAATATTGTTTAATGTAAGAATTCGAGTAACTATGATCTGGATGTCTATGGTTTACGGCTGCCATACCAGCAAGCTTGCTGCCAGCGTTGCTAACAGTCCCTGCCGTCGCGAGCATTCACATATTGCAGCTTACACACAGTGAAAGCTCGGTGCCCTGAGCTAGTTTGGTATTGCCTAACTCTTAAATATTATGTGTTCAGGAGGAGACGCCAGACCGTGGAACCAAAGGAAAGAGAAGGTGTGCAGCGTGTGCATGAGCTCAGTGTGGCGTCGCTGTCGGCAGAGGCTTGCCGGATGGTGTTTCAGGACACACTGCCACGGAGTGGCAGTGTGTCCTGAAACACTCATTTTAATGACGAAACACATTAAATTTTCAGTTAGCTCATATGTGTAACTCGTTAGGAACGCCAGTGATGCATGAACATTTTTTTTTTAAGCCGAACGATTGCAGTAGCAGCAAGACACTAACCTTCGCTGCAGGCCCTGCACTACAATGCCGTAAGGCATTGCAGCCTCATCCAATGCCCCATAGAACATGGTGTGTAATGAGCCTAAATGTCAACAAAATCTTTAAGTTAGAATATTAATCAATATACACTAGACGCTGGTGCTCAGTTACGCTAAAGGCAAGAGGCTGACACATCCATAGGAAAGGGACACCGCGGGCCGCAGCCGAGGCCGCGCGGGCAAGCTTAGGGTTAGCTGGTAGCGAGGTTGAAAACGGACAGGTAGAAGCCTTAGTTTTGTGGGTTTACGTTTACTATGACCTTTGATCCATCAATTCAAGACGGCAGGCTTGTGCCTTGGGTTGTCGTTGAGCACTAGATCATACACCAGCGTAACCAACCTACGACCACTGCACTGGCAGTCTCGGATTGCATTGGCCTTTTCTTGAAAAGCGACAGCAGAAAGCCCCCAGGAAACTAAGACATGTTCGGAATAGAATAATGATTTTGTTCTCCTCCAGCCGTGGCCGGCTGGCCTGGGGACCCCTGTTTGTGCTGACCCTGTGGGCAACGACACGAGGGGTCAGTTCAGCACAAAAGACAGCGTTCAACTCTCCCCATTTTGCTGCTACAGTAAGCGAAGTGCGAAGGCATGACGGGTTCGAGGAGCTTCCCATCGTGTCTTTGGGGACAAGCGGATCGCTCGGGATCTTGAGTCCTGAAGACACAAAAGAACAACACATCGGTAAGAACTAGCTCAGTTCTTATCCGGAAGTGACTACAAAGAACGAAGCAGAATAAGTGAACGTTCATGCACGTGCATCATGTGAACAACACCCCAGCTTGTTAGTTACAAGCATGCGGGCTTCGAGCTTGCCGACTTGCCCAATGGGCAGCACTTTGCAAGTGCCAGTTGGCATGAGGCCAAACATGACCTAACGCAAGAAAGCGTATGCACCGATGATACATGTTGTATGTTAAGACGGTTTGGATCCACTGCTTTGTGCTGTTGAGAAAATGCAGAGTATATTGATGACTTGAATAATAGCGACGATGAAAAGTTTTCGGGGCTCCAGTTAGCAAACTGTAAGCAAAAGCTACACCTCACAGATTCTATGTTGCTCAAGATAGAGCCTTTGCTAAGCGTCGTGGGAAAAAAGTGCAAGACAAGTAGGATATGCGTGTGTGCGCTGCTACTGCTTTTTCAGCCCCAACCCCCCCGCCCGGTAGTCACTACATCGACCCTATTTTGCAAAATGGTAAGCGACAAATTCGACTTCTTTAAAAATATAGCAAGCGGTGCAGTATACGGAATGAGTCTCACATTTGGTGGTTCTTCCAATCTATTTAGAGACTAGTAGCAGGACTGAGGTCTATTGTACGCCGTCAGTAAATGTTTTTGCTATTTTATCCATCGGCCCACACTGCATGCTACTTCTACTTTGTGTTTAGCCGAGATACCTCTGGATGTGCGGAACACCGCCCTCAAGAGCAAGGAAATCCGCGCTTTGGGTCTTCTCTTGACGACTTTGAGAACGTTCATCACAAAGTCTACACTCAGAAATTTATTTCTGGTTTTGTCGTCCTACTACAAGCTTTACTCATTGTTCAAAGCTTGCGCCGTTGCCTATGGCCTTGGATTCCTCTTTAGCAAAGTTGACCAAGTTGCAGGTTCGTCGAGTGAACAGTGGACCGTAGCCAGGAATGTGTGGCCCCGGGGAACTTCAGGAAGCTCTGTAGTGCCTTGCTTGCGCTGAGAAACTGTTCTGTTCAGTTGTGCCACTTGCAACTGTTGTGAGCAGGACTTGCGAACCTTCTTGTCACAACTTTGACAAGCCTCTTCCTGGACAGTTGGAAGCACAACATGTATGCTAGACTCGTGTCGGACCTACGCCTACCGGATACAGTGGAACAAAGCTTGTCTGCATTTATCCGAAAAGAGAAGCAAAACGTCGACAGCTACACCCACTCAACAGTCCTCGAGTCCGTCAAAAAAGCGGTAGGTTTTGCTGTGCTCCCACATTTTAAGCAGTGTCCTTCGTGCATCTAGTAATTGTGCTTTGCCTATACGGGGAGCATACTTGTGTTTCTTTTTAAATTTGCAGATGATTATGGTTGTAAGGGACATTCTTGACCCTCAAAACGTAGGAGACATAATAGACCAAGCCCTGGTGCCTACGGAGCCGTCGGGTACCCAACTTATTGATTTTTCTACGGTCGACATAAGCATGGACAGCTTCAAGGCAAAACATCCCTTTGTTTTTGTGGCTCACCATATGGAGACGCCCGTTCATGTATTTACTTCAGGTAACCATTTTGTGTACGGTAATCCCACACCAACCGTTGTTGCTCCTGCGTTTTCCGTTAGTAGGTAGGGCAGTGTAAAAATACTGCTTGCTTGTTTTCGCAGAGCTTCGAAGACCTGGCACCAATTACTACAGAATTTTGCGGTCCTTGCAATCAATTGCTCTTCCGATATTGCTTGGCCAGAGCACGAGCCATTGGGATTCAGTAATTAGTCACCAGATGCAACCTCTCATGGTGGGAATAGGCGTCAAAGCTCAGGTGAGATGATGATGACTCTCGTAATCAACCTTGTGACACATGCAGGATTAATTATCCCCAATGTGACAAACGGGAGTTTTCGGATACCGTTGGGTCTGACGGGTGTTGGGTTCTGTTCTAGGACTTGGTAATTTCGACGTTAAAAGATCGGGCCCACAAGCTGCCTAACCTGTTGGAGTGGGTAAACCGAGATGTGGACTACAGAGCACTCGTCGCAACTGACTGGCAGCCTTTGATTGGCGCTTTGAGCAACTGGGAAGCAAAAGGTATCTTTTATTCCGAACCAAAACCGCTTTAACTAGGAGATGTCACTTACCTGTGCTTATTGAGTATGTTCTTATTGTCTTTCGCACTACAATTTGTTCCTACAACCTGTTCCCTTTCAGACGATATGTACTCTTCACATGGGCTAGACTGGAGAAATGCTGCCAGAATGAAGCAGATGTACCTTTTTTTCCTACAGCAAGCAGCTCAAATATCCTTTCTTCAAAGGGGGATAGATGAGCCTGTCATTCAACCAGGAAAATCCAGTTGCATGAGCCAGTTCGTTGCTCGTTTGCAGGTGAGGCTGCTTACGAATAACCCTTGCAACCACTTCACTACTAGAGGAGACTATCGTTCCAGTGCTGCTCGTCAGTTTTAGCATACAACTTCACTCATGTGCTTTGGTTGGGCGAGCAGTCCACGGGAAGCCCGCGCTTGAAGGCTATGCTGGACCGTGTCAATCTGCCCGAATCCTTCTTAACGTGGGAACTAGTCAACCAATGCTTTATCAAGGGGAGGGAAAGCGACTGCAGCAAACTGCCACTGTATTTCACCTCGTTACAGGGTAAGAAGTCTTGTGTGCCAAATGCACTGAACGACTGCTTTGCTGAGCGGTCTTTTTCTATAAATATGTTACTGAGTAATGCTAGGAGGTACAAGCAGAGGTGGTTGAAGTGATCCCAGTTTTGCGTTCGTGGTTTCTACAGGGAACAGGTTAATTCTGTCAGTCAGCGATATGGCCGTGCCAGTCGAATTTGAACTACGCGAACCGCCGAACCCTAAAACTGCGGAAATTCTTCACTCCTTCCCTAGGACTGTACGCCAGATGCGATCACCATTTGGCTATGCAGGGAAAGAGCGACTTGTCTCTTCTCAACCGGCAGGCCTTTTTGCCGGAATTTGGAGGGGTATGGTGACGAGGACGAAGGTGAGCTGTAGATATGGATGCTGATTCTCGGCAGTGCAGTGGTGTATCCGGCCCAGCCACCTTCATCCAAATGCCGCACATAACCTATTCATTTCCCGGTGTGTCTGTTGCACTATAGGAGCTCCTGTCTCCATTCTTGACCCTCATTACTCTAGCCCGACAAGCTTGGGGTCGTCTCATCCGCCGGCTCAAGGTAAATATCAGTAGACTTAGGGAGGTGACATCACATTTCGCCGGTCTCCAGTACGTTTCCTAAAATTTTAAGGCGCATATTCGACGCGCAGATACGCTGGAGTACTGTTTTATGTGACCAGAAATCCCACGGTCCCAAGATATCTATGAAGATAAAGGCTTTTAAGGAGACACCCGAGTTCTTAACAATAATATTGCAGGCCAAAAGTAAAGTCGTCAAACTTGTGGGGAGACCCCTTCATATGCTGCAACGAATCGATGCTTTTCAGTGCGAGGCTGCGAAGCAAATGAAGTCGTATTTGAATTATTTCCAAGAGGACGAAAATGCGGTGAAGCGCGAAGGCACTCCTTGGGAGGGACTGCCTGCAAATAGAGTGGAGGTTTCATACGCGAGCGACAAGCTTAGTCCCCGAACCCGAACGACGCTGTCCCACATACTCCGGCTTCTATTTCCACAGAATGTCGTGGGTACGATCCTTGAACGCTTCAGTAATGGGGAAAGCTTCCAGCTAACGACGGCTGGAGGCATGCAAGGAACCATTAATTTCCTTAGAGAGTGGTATCTCACCAAGAAGCTCCTACGATCAGCTTACCCAGAAGCAAGAGACTTGGATATTCAACAGGACATCTCCGAATGGCATAATCCAAGCCGCAGGAACCTCGAGGAAATGTTGAGGCTACGTGAGCTGTTGCATCCTACAGCACCATGCCTGTCTCTTGATTGCTGTGGTAACACCAATTTGGTGTATAGTAGCTTCTATGCAGTGTATGTGCCCTTGATAAAGAGCACGCACACTTGTAAGCCCAGTCTTTTACTCCATTTAGCTCGATAAATGCAGAATATTGCGGCACAATTCGTTTTCTCGTGTTCGGTGTTTGCAGACGGCGTCGACGGAAAGCCTTTCAGTAAGAATCCTAAACACAAGCTACAGCTCAGCAGTTTCCCACCACTAGTGGTTGCGGTAAGAAGCTGCCAGGCTGCGCTGTTGTATTATTGTTTCAGAGGAATCGTGGACGGTCATTCTCAACTGCACTGAGTCAGCAGAGAACGTTCGGTGGGAAGTTTTGGACCTTGATGTGGTAAATCAAGAGCATATGGTTGTAAAACAGTACGTGCAAGACTTTGGAGAACTGGCAACGTTGGCATCGGCGGTGGGGAAGGAGTTAAGCCTGGCAGCGGGCGTCGATCATGTGTTGAGAAGGATGCAGGAAACTTTCTTTGACTACGCATGTTAGTAACGCTGTTGGTAGTTGAGTATTTTTCGCGCAATAGGGCTTACCTCGAAATGGATGCTCTTTAGCTGCAGTGTGCACTGGGCATCCTCTTGAACGTGTGCCACCGGTACCATTTGGGAGTTAGATTCTGGAACCTGGCGTGTGTATTGCAGACAAACGAACGCTGTACATTGAGAGCCCAGGCGCCTTCCTTCAACAACTAATTGACTCTGGCTCACAGCAGATCGCGCATGAATTTGAGCACTGGCTGCTGGAGCGACTTCAAGGCAACTCACGGAGCAAAAGGTGCAGGCCTGGCTCATTCTATGGAAGAGCATACGCACAGTACGAAGCCTTAGTAGATTACTACGAGAAGAAAGATCTTGAGGCTCCCGTTCCTGATCTCGAAGAAGTCAAACGCTTCCTTCTTACTGCAAGTGCGACAAGTGCAGATTGTTTCTGCGCGGCTTCAAGCTAGTACACTTGCACCACAAGGAGAATGGTAGAATGGTTAAAGTGGCACGCTTTGGCTATCTAATTTTCTTGTTGCAGGTGTGCCCAAGGGTCATTTGGTGCGCATCCCTCCTGAAGAAGACAACCAGCACAGTGGCATATACAAAATGGTTGAGCGCCTAGATCGCTGCACGTTTCTCCTTGAAGACGCCAACCGTTTCCAGCTCGCCACCGATGCTAGCCTTCACATAGTCCGAAGTAAGTGACTAAAAGGCACTAGCTTTGCCTGTCAAGTTTGGAACTTTATATTGCATAGGGCACGCTAGCAGCTAAGGAACAAGTTGCTTCTTCAAGCTGCGTGGTTGCTACAGAGTTCGAGGACGGAGACCAAATTTCCCACCAGTACTTACAACGCCGGCAATATAAAATTACTGCAAAGGATTTGACTACGGGGGTTTGCAAAGTCACAGATAGGCACGCCTTTGATTTTGAATTGCACCCGGAAGAAACAACACCAATAACCATTGGCCAATTCGCTTTCCAAGGCAACAAGCTCCCAGAGGGTACATGGACTCTGGCCGACCCAAAAGCAGCTTACAGTACTGTTGTCGAGCTGAATACCGATTATCTGACAGACTTCGAAGTCGAACAGAGCATTGTCCAAGACTGCTACACAGGCGTTGCCTGCGTCATCAGAGACGAACGTGACTTACCCGTTGTGGTACACTATGCCATTCCAGGTATGGGTTGCCTGAACAGTAAACATAGCCACTCTATGTACAATGTTTGTACTACATAGTGTGAAACGAAGCTGTGTTTACTCACCTGGTGAAGTAAGTAGGAAGCCGAAGTTCTTTACTAGCATCCCTGCGTGCTCTGGCGTTCAGAATTAGCAACATCCGCGTGGACAGGTCCGTGGCTGTGGCTGTTCCTCAACGGCCTGCACGCCGAATACCTCAGCATTATCTCAAGCCAGCAAATCGTCAAGTCAGTGGAGGAAAGGTTTTGGACTCAGCGCACAATCAATGAGCTTGCAAGCTACTGTTGGGATCTTCCAGACGAAGTAAGCCTATCGCTTGATCGGAAGTTCTTGAACCCCAGTTCTCCAAGTCGTTTGTCTAGGGCCTTGGCGCTGGTGAGAAGAAACCGCGAAAAAGCTACTACCGTCCCAAACAGGTGCTTCACATCATTCAATAACTTCAATGCATTTTTTCCTGTAAGTTTCGCTCTGTGGCCAACACACACCTCGTGGCAAAGGTTAAACTCATATAGAAGCTGCTCAATAACAAGCGGAATGATGCCATTTGCAGTTAGCATTACATTCGAATTGATATTCAGATGGATAGTGCGTCGTATGCGACTTTATGTCAGGGTGCATCGAGCGGCAGCGAACTTAATTCAACCAGCTCTGGACAACTGCCATTTTTCCAACAGACTGAACAGATAGTCTCCAAAACGGCATACGCAGCCTACGCACTTCGGAAAGAAAGGGAGGAAGCAGCGATTTCTGGAGTTAAGCAGCACTTTAGAGCCAGGACGTGTGGCAGCCGTTGCGCAGCTTGGTGGCTAAAGGCAAATGAGCTCAAGTCCATGGTGAAACGATTTTCGGAAGCAGGGCAAGCACCCATGACCCCTCAACATGAGCAGTTTATTCTTACCAACGCCCTTTACGCCACCCCTTTAGGGGAATACTGGATAAGCCGCATATGCACATTTCAAAATAGCTTCCGAAAACTCTTCGCCCTCCTGCGTCTCCCGTACGAGCAAGAAAGTACGGTCCCTTGTTCAAAGGTGTCCGCCATCATAATCTTGGCCACGATAATGAGTGACATCACTCTCCTGATCAGAAGGAGAGCAGTTACTACTGGAAATGTCCGTATGAAAAACATGGAAAAACTATTCAGTTTCCTCCAGCACAACGACGTCCCTGTTCCGTGCACCTATGAATTCCCTGATGCGGCGGACCTACTACAGCCCAGCGTACCAGCAGATTCCGAGGAATGCAGGCAACGGGATGCCGCTGCGAATGCTTTCATGCGTATGAAGTCCCTTAATGACTCTGCACACGTACAGGTGAGCCTGCAGACATGAACGACAAGCCAAAATGGGACAACCATTGCAATATACATCGCAAACAAGCTACAAGCTTGCAGTGAGCAACGCAAACTTCATGTTATAGAAGCCCATTATGCTTTGGGGGCCTTCATGCAATTTGAATTGCTCAGGTAGATGATGTCATCCAAGAAATTCGAAGACGATTCATTCCGACGCTCTATTCACGGCTTTCTCCGCGATTTGTTTCAACAACTCCAGAAGAGTATCGCCGTCAAGCAACTGACTTTAAAGAAGTTGATGAAGAAGTCGATGACTTATTCGCTGCCCTACACCGTCCTTTTGCCGTTTGGGAAGGGACGTTCCAGCACAGGCAGCGAGAAGAATTCCTTGATATTCGGATGCAGCAGCAATGTCCATTCAGACCCCCACAACCCACGCGTCATGCAAAGGAGATCATCCCTGGGGCTCACGTACAGCTAATTCAGGGATACTTCCCCTTTGGTTACAACGGCAAGTCATCAGTCGGATGAAATGGGACCTTCACTCCACCCATTTCTGTTTGCGATTAGTTTCTTGTGGTCAGCGCCAGGGTGTGTCTCATAGCTCTACTGTGCCCCCTCTGTTGTCCTGTTGTTCCAATTTTCCCAGATAGCCATATACAGGATCGAAGCGCTTTTAGACAAGAGAAGACCATTTTGCTTTTTACGGGGCTGTTTCTTATTCAAATATTCTCCAGAGGGACGTCATTTGCTAACTCGCTTATTAAATTTATCCTGGAGGAAGGAAAAGCCGAAGAGGCATTAAAAGTGCGTTGATATTGATCCTACTTACATATGCACGGATGTGATATCCGATTGCCGTTTCAAGTCCACGAATTTCTTGCATTGTCGACAAACTTTTGGGTTGTGCATCAGGAGACCGCATGGCCTCTACTTGGATTGCTTCTGCGCCAAACAGTTTCGCTGCAGAGCGATCCTGCAGGCACGTTTGAGCTACAATGCGACACACTTAAAAATCTTCGATGGGGTCTTAAGACGCTAGGATTGGGAAGCGGCGAGAAAACCATTCAACAGGTACTACTGACCCAGATTTGGGATTACTTTGCTGCCCTGTGCAAGGCACAATATTGTTTATAGCATATCCGAATTTGATACACTGTTCCCTGTGTGATGCTTCATATAGGCAGTGCAACTGTTTCTGGAAGACGCAAACTTCGCTGAAGTTGCTTCCTTCTTGCCACCACCGGTGGAGGGGTGTGATGCCTATGCTGGTAGGTCTTGAACTACTGGTGTGCAAAACCTACAAAACGTAGTTGCATTGTGGCATTCAGCAGTGTATATGCCATTAATTGTCAAACGTATATAAGATATACCCTCCGCTTATGTTGCATTCAGTTCCTGTTGGCTTCCTTCGTTTCCAATCCGGCCAAACCCCCTATTCTATTCTCGTCACACCGAGTGGCGACGCTCTGTTTGGCAGCATCTCTGAGCGATTGGAGAAATCCGGAGGGCAGAAAAGACCAAACTGGTCTCTTGTTGCCGTAAGAGTGTCTGAAGGAGTTCTCTATGTAGAAGATGCAATTTCCGGAGAAATTCGCAGATTCGACGAACCAGGAGGCAAGTTCACACCAGACGAGGCCGAGTTATCTTACAATGAACGGCAGCTGGTGAGTGCGACACAATTATTTACTCCCGTTTGAAGTCTTACGTACTCTGTCCTTTCCCCATTCAGAGTGTCTCCCGGGATCGCAAACGAGTGTAGCTCTTCTTCGCGCAGTGTGGAGACAGGCGATGCCTGAACTTGATCCTGAATCACCTGCAAGATGGCGTAATGTCGTCACACGGCACGTGGATGGCGTTCTCAACCAACCCGGCAGCAACGCGGAATGTCAGGCCCAACGAAATTACTTTATCCGGGAGGTCATGAAGGCTCTGTCCCACAGTGAGCAGCTGGTGTCACTCATCGTGCCGAAGCTACTGGTATTTACAAATGATATGACGCCCACCAAATCACGTACTTCTCTCCTATTTTCCCCTGCAGATACGCCGATACGAGCTGGCGACAAAGCTTGGCGCGGCAGCAGCCTCGTTGTTGTTGAAAAAATTGACGCTGGCATTACGTTTGTGAGGCCTGCTGCAATCGTTGGACAGCCGCAGTCTGCTGAAGCTACGACAGAGCCGTTATTTGCTGGTAAGCAATCCAAGACTCTTTTAGTTTGCAACTGGGTGTAGTTGTTATGTTTTTACTTGTATGGCTTGCCACCGAACAAGCATAGGCCCTTCGATCTTTGCAAACAAATATATATATGGATGTTGTCGCGATATGGGTTGGTATAAATATATTCGAGTATACGGTTTGAACGGACCTGCAAGCTTATATATCCACATTGATTCCTCTTGTCTGCTACAGCTGAGAAACTCACCATTGGAGACTCCGTCGTGGCTTCTGAAGGTTTTTTGGCCTACGATTTGCTCGATATCGCCCCCATTGGATCGGTGGGCTGCGTGTCAAGGCTACGCCGGAAGGACTCTGGCGAAACTGCCCTATCACGCAAGCCTCTATTTAGGCTGAACGGTACGCAACAGTCTCTACGATGATCGATACAGCTGAATAGAGCATCAACGACAAAAAAGACTTGTTCGCTAATTGCCTTTCAGCACCAAGTTCTGGAAGAAATCAGGGTCAGGTAGGGGTGATAACAGTAGCCTCTATGTAGCCAAATCATTCTGTCGGTGCAAATACAGGGTTCCAAGAAGGCGAACTTGTTCGAAAGTCATCAAGCATTGAAGTGTACGAATATATGGGAACTTGTGGCAATACCTACGCGCTCAGAAGCTTCGTCACGCGCGAAATGGAATGGACATATGAAGATCTGATGCCGCTTTGGGGTAACAAAGCATAGTTTATTGAACACTTTAAGCCCGACTCCCTGTTTTAGTTGTAGATGCTAGTTTATCGAATATTCTAAGCCATACACCCTGTTTTAGCTGTAGATGCTGGATTCAGTTGGTGTAGGAGCACGAAAAGTGCGTTGTGTCTCTGCTGCGTACTGCAGCCCCTCTTCATGGTGAAGCCCTTGGAACCACTCCAGGTTTGAATGCAATAAACAGAAATGAGAAAAAAAAACAGACGCCACCTGAGTCACAAAACTATACAACGATGGAACCATTCTGAAATCCGGAAAATAATGGAACCAGGAAATTATGCTCCTAGGACTAAGTAAGTTGTGATTTGTTGGCTGTGTCCTTCAGGGCAACTTGGCAGAGCGTACCCGCAGAAGGAGTTGTACATGAGCTTGGTCTTGTTCTTGAAAGAATTCCACAGGACGGAATGTTCCCAAATAAGTCGAATCCAATTTAAAAAGGTCTTAACTATACTCGAAAATTACAACAAAATATCGGTCTCTGATAAGGAGTCTCTACAGACCACGTTTGAGCACCGGGCGAACAAAGAGTCGTTCTACGAGGCAGTGCAGGGAGTGCAAAAGCTTGCATCAGACTTGCAAGCAGATCTCCAGAGCAGAATAAGCCCAAGCTCTCCTACAGGTGAGACGCCGCCTTCGTGCTCGTACTCCTTCATCGTCACCACTAGTGACCACTCCCATGTGCAAGGCAGATTACATGTGGTTGGGCTCGTTGTGCTCTTAATTCATTGCAGATATCCGTAAGGAGATGCTGTTCGCTTGGGGAAATGCAAGCATTGCCGCACTGGAGGCAATGTGGAGGGGTCGAAGCCTCTGGCGAATGCTCCACAAGATCCATCAGCAGGGACTGGCAGGATTCTTTACAGAGATCAATACCTTGCCACAGCGCCCAGATCTCTTAGCAGCAGGTACGTCTAGAGTTCAGCGTACTTCACACCTGCCAAATAATTGTGCACTAATTTATGGAGGCCACAACCCTTCTGCATATGATTGGAATTCCAATTAAATCATAATACTGCTATGTTCGCTCTCCGTTTACAGTCAATTCCATCAAGGCTGACAATTTGCGGGAGCTGGGACAAAAGGCAATAAATGACTACGTTCCTGCGTCGGGCGCATCATTGTTACTGCCCTCTATCACTGATGCAGTAGACCAGAGAACCTTCCAAAGCTCAGTCAACGAGGAAGCTCAACCCACGTTAAGCAACTTTCTTAACTTCGTCGGAGAAAGTGTTATTCCCAGGAGTGCGTTAGAAGGAAGTCCTGGAATGTGGCAGATGTGTTGTGCAGTCACGAGTTGTAGATGCAATTTCTAGCGGCATCATGCGAAGCTTATGAAAGGGTGCTTTGAAGTTCATTGTTCATAGTAGGAAGTGCTGATTGTGCTTTCAGGAGCCCTCACCACTTTACTGTCGTCCACTTCCAAGGGTACGCAACTGTTTTTTCGCAAAACTTATACGCACACGAACCATTCGTGAAGCAGAATTTCTCCAAAACTAGTTCATTGCCTGGCTGATGTGATGTTCAGAAAAGGCACTAAAGTTGTGGGAAGACTACAGCACAACGATCGCCCGCCGACTGGACGATTTTGCTGTACAACAAAATGCCCGTGAGTCCAAAACACACAGCCACCCTTTAACCAAATTGCTGGAGTATTTACTCTCCGGTCACACTAAACCGACTATGTGACCGGGGTGTGCTTTCAGTTGACGGATATAGGAAAAGCCTTCAGTCCAGGGATTCAGTTCTTCCTCAAAGCAGTCTGAATTCCACGTGGACAGATAAAATAATGTTAAAGCTAGCTGAAGTAATTGGATCCTTGATGCGACAAGAACTGGGGAACAAACTCCCCGCTCAAAAGATCAAAAGCACATTGCAACCAGTAATCCTCCAAGAACTTGTGGAAGTTAGTGATCTGTCATTCAGTAGCGACAGTGGTAAGCAAGCCAATGCCTCCCATGCATCCACTGGCACAACCCAGGCCTCTACAAAACTCACACATCTCAGTACCGACCATGCCAGCGTGCGTTTCGATGCCCCTCGCCGATTTCAGATAAAGAGAGAGTCTTCGGGAAACTTTCGGAAACTCTGGCTGACCAAATATCCCATTTGTACCAAATCCAAAATCCAGGGAGGGTTCCACGAGGGGAAGTGCTTCTGGATGTATTTTCGCTACTCGAAGTAGATGGGAGTGAAGTTAGAGAGCATGGTAAGCTTCCCTTGCACGGAACCATTCATCTTCGTGAATTTAGCTCTTCCTGCTTCCTTGTTTAGCTATACTTCAAATGGTGGCTGTCTCCCTGTACACTGTTGTGCCGCAAATACAGAAGAACGCCTTCGTCACCAGTACTCTCAGCTCACCCAGAAATACATAGACCAACTCATTTCCGCTGAAGTGATTGGCATCGAGGGCATCATTGACATCATTCGCCGACTAGAAAATACACTAGGAACTTTAATAACCCCGCTCATAGATCAGGCTCTTGGTCTTGTCAAGAAAGCCACACAGGTTATTGCGCGGCCTCGGAAGAAGAAAGAACGATTTCTTTTCGCCTTCGATGCCCTTTCCGCGTCTCTTGACAGGATCGATACCTCCGTGACTCCAACAGGCAAGCACCAGATAGGCATACGCCATTCCCTCTACGGTAGTACATGGGATCACCAAGTGCCTGGATGAATGTTTAACCTGCAACATGTTTCCACTCCCCTTTTTCAACTGTTCTTCAGAAGAAGAGAGTGAACTTTTCCGTGCCCCAGTCACTCCAAAAGTTCCTGGTGCTGTGAAGCCCATGAAGGACATGGGATCTCTGAAGCGTATCTCCACTCGATTCCTTGCCATGGGGGCAGGCGCTGTCAGTACTGCCGGCTTCCAACTTCTAAGCAAAATTACAGGCACTCCAATCCCTGATCACCTTGCAAATGTCCTCCTATTCTTCTGGACCCAAATAAGGGCTGGAGTATTCAACACAAGCCTTAAGAATACTTTTAGTCTCTACATCGGCCCGGCTGCAGCAGAAAACATCAAGCTTGTAAGGCATATTGTTTAGCCCCTTCCTCTACAGTGCACTTCCAGATGAAGCTGGGGGTAGATTTTTACGCAGCAGGTACAGCTGCATGGGAGCCGCCTCTTGGATGTGTGGTGCTTCTTTACTGCCCGTTTCGAAATGTTGGCTGCCCCCCGTTTTCTCAGGTCCAGAACTCAGTCTGGATTTCAGGAGTGCAGCCTTGGGTTGACAGCTTGACTATGCAGACGGCGGTTCTAGAGCGGTTGCTTGGTGAAATCGAGGGCGGAGGGTCACTCAGTCGGGATTGGTGGCGGGAGCTTCCGCTTCTTGTATTTATAAAACGCTCTTTAGACACGGTCCGCTCTTCCATGTTTGATCCCAGCAACTTGTACAGAATATGGTCCCAAATCAAGTTCGCCACAAGGTGAGTCAGCACGTCACCCACGTCGCTACATTTGCAAGCATAGCTTACGGACCATGTTGAACACGGAAGAATGTAGAGGAGAACTCCTTAGATGGATGCCGTAGAAGCCGTCAAAACCTTCTCAAATGCCGGATGTGTTGTGGTCTGTCTCTGTAGCGCCCCTTCTGGCCTGTACACGGTGTTGATGGCACCGGTGAAGGGCCTCGGTTCTTACTTGTACCTCCTCTTAATCGAGCTCTTGAACGGGGTCCTGCCTGCCGAGAATGGTCAGCTTCGGCACCTAGTTAGCAGTGTGCTTAAGCCGTTACCAGCTTAGGCACACCGCTAATCACTAAGTCGTGTTCTACGCTCTATTTCCACCTCAGCAGCAGCCCTCTACGAAGTGCCCACAAATGTGTTTGGCTTCAAGATATCTTTGCGCATTCCGCAGGTGACTTTCTTGTGCCGCGAGATCTTCTCGGAGAAGGGAACCCACGGACCGCCATGCACATAGCAGTGGCGAATCCTGTGGATCTCATCAAGTATCTACACCGTTTGTTTGACGTCTTACTGAAGGTATGCAGCAATACTGTTTACATGCTCGCTATCCCCTCACGTCAAGAGGAGTACGACGTTTGCTACTTTGCGTGAATGCTTCACTCAAGACCATATTCCTTTAAAGCAGCAGCTCCTTGTTATCGTGCTTACAGGTGTACGTCCCCATGTTCCATGAGCTCTTCGACACTGGCATCCAGCTGGTCCTCCAAAAGCTGGGACACCACATCTCAAAAGGTACGGCATTCTGCACAGTGATCTAATTGCTGGCCCACAACTGGAGACTACAGCAACAGTTAGACCCAGTGGATAACCAACCTTCCCTGCGCAATGCTTGTCCCTGCAGACCAAGGGGTACTGGAAGTGTGGAGACTACTAAACCACATTGCTGATCACGACGTGGATGGAGAGCTCGAAGAAATTGTTCAAGAATTGATTTTTAGGGTTACCGACGATGTACTGAGGCTGTGGCCTTCTATGCCTAGCGGTTCTCCCCAGCCTTGGCGACAAATGTAGATGTTCAGAGAACGCTACATCGCGAGTAGTGAATTTGTCGCTACTAGCGATGAGCTAAGCCCTCGGCAGTAGATCCGGGGATTCCATTGATTAAAGATGCCAAAACGTTTTGCTAGAGAGAAGTTTCCTCTCATTCATTCAAAGGCAAACCGGAAATTCATAAGGGGCAGCCAAGAGGCCTCTGTCTTGGGTTAAAACGTTATGGGAAGCATCCGGCAGCCCTATTTAGGGTATGCCGATAAAGTGTGACCAACGAGCTCCAAAACTCCCCCAGCTAGGTTTAACACAGGGAAGAACGTTATGATGGGCAAAAACTCGGAGGAAGCCACTGCACTCTCACAGCAACCTGCTTCGATGCGCTGCCGGCAGTTTGCTTCAAACGACTCCGAATCTGTCTGAAGCGAGTGCACGTAGGAAGTGCAATAGAATACACATACTTCAAGCATCCGTTTGGTGCCCCCAACGGTCGTAGCTACTTCAGAATCTTCTTCAGCGTCGTCAGAGCTCAAAATTGCGATGCCCTCTCTCAACGACTGCTCTTTGAGCCAATGTGTCAGAGTGCTGCAAAGTTGCCCCACCAAATCTTCCCACGTATAGCGACCGGTGTAGTTAAGTTGTTCTTGTAATGAAAGGCGCACCGCCATAGAACGAATTCTGTGAAGACCACCGCGAGTCACCGTAGCTCCTGGGTCTCTTCGTACCTTTAGACGACGCTCCACCACCGTGACAGCTACCGTATATTTCTCCTCCTGCTGTCTCACGTGCTGAGCAGCGCGCGCCTGTGAACATCCCCTATCTCGCTGCCGGGGTGATATGTCAAACATGGGAAGCATCAGAACCCTTGCTTTTCCCGGTAGACTTGGTGCCTCCGCCACGATGAGGATGGTCTGGCTCTCTGTATCATCACCCGATAACGAGCCCTCATCACCGTGGCTGGATCTTGAAATGAGAAGATGCAAAAGCCGCTTTACAGCCGCCAATTTCCTGTCAGACTTTGTCTTGGCCTCCTCATTTCCTTCTTTGAGTTTGACAAAGACAACAATGCAAGGAGCCATAAAAAGCAACGACGTCACGTGCAGAGCACGTGGTGCTGTTGAGTGTGTACTTTGCGATATTGTTGAATCAGCTCTTCCCAATTCTGCCTCATCTATGAAACGTTCACAATCATCGTGGGGAAAGCCCCTGTGGGAACCGCCAGTGTAGCACAGGTGACGAGTGTATTGCATGCTGATGAATGCGTTGACGGTCTGCAGTGCGGTGTAAAAAGCCGGTTTGCTCTCTCGATACTCTTCAATTGTCCATATCGAGGGGATCCGATTAGGTTCGCGAACTTCATCGGGAAAGTCGCAGGTGAAGGGTAATCGGCCGTCGCAACCACGAAGGAGCAGATAAGACACGCTGAATGAGCTCTCAGATGCCAACTCGCAGCGCATTCCTTGACACGAACAGCAAGTGCCTTGACGATGGACCGCATCCAACTCAGCACATGGAGGGACCCACAAATTCAAACTGTGCACGTGCACCACTGAATCGTCGGATAAGGACTTCAAGGAGAGGGTAGGGGGGACGGCGACGCCTTCCGGGCTACTCAGCACAAACTTGAGCCGCAGTTTAACACCCGGCGGCAACGGAGCAACAACGACTGTCAGACTGACAGGCTTGATGCCCAAGTGCTCAAAAACATTTTCGGGGATGCCGATAAAGTCTGGGCAGCAGGCCTGACAGATTGCTCCAATAATACGTGAACGCACTCCACTCCGGTGTGTTTTACGCAGCTGTTCGTCTAGCCAGGTGCTCATACGCTCTGTAACTAGCGGTATCCAGTACGTATTCGGTGGAGATAAATTGCCGCCTTTTGCTTCCCCACCTTCCTCACTGCGAGTCACACATATATCTCCAGTGAGGGTGTACCCTAAGGACCAGGCTGGGAAGTGCCAAGTCCATTCGCAGCATTCGCTTGGAGAACCAACGCTTGGCGGAGCGCTCCCAAGATCAGGACCCGTCTGACACAGTGGCGAAGGAGCAGAGGAGTCCCCGTTCTGCGCCTCTACGCCCCATTCCTTGACAGCCACATCAATCAGATCCAGGAAGGGCTTTACTCGAAGCCATTCAAGATCATGCAGAACTGCATGGGACCGAGCTCGACGTCGTGAGCTTGTGGGATCCTTGGGCACTACCTTCCACTCCACTGGGGACTGCAACCACACGGGAGCCACGGCGTCGTCGCTGTGGCACACTTGCATCCAATCAGAGACGGCAATCGAACCTCTGGTGAACAGCGGGCAGTCTAACGTCACCGTCTCGTACTCCCCCCCTGCAGCGCCGTTTACACATAGCCAATGGAATAAGGTGAGCTCAAATGCAAATCCACACGCTAAACAATAGAACAGGATCCCAACATACACCCGGCGACTGGACAACAGCAACCGACGGCAACAACAACCGTTACTCTTTAAAAGCATGAGCTACCCTCCTTTTAAGTGCGCCGGGCTGGCTCAGAAGTAGAGGGCAGACGTGAAAGAGGAAATAATGCATACCTTCTCCACAGACGTGGAAATCGTACTGCTGGTTCAGCTCGAGGAAATGAGGCAGCAGATCGGAAAGTGGGCGGCCCAGGTGCCGCTTTGACAGCCCCATTGAGGCAGTTTTGACCACCACAGCGTGCAAGCCCCAGTCCAACATATTCCTGAGCAGACCCTTCTGTTCGCGGCACCACATCAAGCAGACGGGAAGCAAGCGGACAGATTCGCAACTGCAACGCAGACAGCAGGCGGAAAGGGAGGGCAAGACGCGGATTAAAACGCAGACAGAAAGGAAACGGGAAAGCAAACGGTGACTATGACCTATATACCCCTTGAGCCCCCAACTTCTAGGTCCTGCAGCATGGAAAATGCGTTCAACACTCCTAGCTCTGAACCCACATGTACTCAAGGCGGCGGCGCTGGTATTCTGACAATATGGCTCCGCATGTCACGGCGCTGATTTCAGGGTGAGCCTCCTGCGCAAATCCGACAAAACGCGCAAACAACTACTCCTGTGTATGGCTCTGCTGTTGAGCCTGGGAGAAATACGTATGGCGAGACACACATACAAATACTGCGGCAAAGGATAGCTGAACAGCGGGCAAATTTAACACTTACTTTCACTCGCTCCAAAAGGAGCTGGAGGTCATTAACTTCGTCGTTTGGGTCAAAGGTGTACTGCAAAGTTTCTGTATTTATTGGCTGCCCCTTCACGTGAGCACTGTAGTGCGGAACGCCTAGGCACTCGGCGACCGCTGCACCCAGAGTTGTTCCCACAGACTGATACATGTAGCTGTCAGTTTCCACAGCATTCTCCCGAGGAAGCAGTGTAGCCACAGCGCGTATGCTGAACCCGAGTCGCCGCGCGCAATGAATGGCATACACGCTGTCTTTCCCTCCGCTCACGAGGGCCACTGCCTTCTTCTTCATGATTCGAGATTCATATGTATACGTAACCCCCAAGATTACGCGGAATTAACAACTATACCCAAATGAATTGACCGAACAATGATACAAGAGGCTCCCCTTGGAGCATTCGCTCGTGCCTCTGTCTTCTGCCGGGCAAAATGCCGGGTGGGCGATCTGCGAAGAGAGGATGTATTCTAGCGGTGAAACTAGCCAAAGTGCCATCGAAGGTTATCCCCATACATAAAAATGCATAAAACGTCTAAGAAGTTCCTATGGTGGACTAGATTGCCAGTTTCCCATGCAGGGTCACAAGAGGACCTCCAGTTGGTTAGCAATCGAGATGCCGGCCCCACGGTGGTAACAAGCGGCAGTTAGAAATGTAAACTGCATCTACTTTCCACATTGACCAAAATATATGTTTTAACCTCTCTCAAGGATCTTAAGTAGAGGGGGGCATCGCAGAGCGGTTCACGATTGCAATGATTAACTGGCGGATTTCATTGGCTTGGGGTTCACGCTGTAACGCGTCTCTCCAGTGCTCAGTAGAAACGTTAATCCTCTGTCATAAGTTCAGGCCATTTCGCTCAGCACTGCTAGAGGAATGATGTTTAAATTGCTCTACATATTCCTGAACCCTACCTGGACTCCCAAGCCTAATCGAACATTACATAGGCGTGTGCGGAACCCAGTAACCCCTCTAGACAGCAATCTGTAGTTGTAAGGATCTTATAGTTCGTCCAAAGCATTTCGAATGGATGACAGTGGATATACGTAAGCATCCAGGACACTAGATCTCGCTCTTCTGGCACTCCACCAGGTTGACTTTTCGCGTATTTGTGGGTACGCAACGGCGACGCTCGGCTCAAACGAAAGGACAACGTTGAACAATTCTTTCGCAGTTGAACATCCCGATGAACCATGAGTACTACCAAGTGTAGTGAGGTCCTCGATCGTAGTTAGGGACAGTCGTATGCATACTTTGGATGACAGCTAAAAAAGCACTTCAACTTCCCCCAGTACCCCGGGGTGCTAAACATAGCTGCACAATGTGCCTACTGCTGGAGCGCCGAGCAGGCTGCCTGTTCCGCGGCACCTTGCTGCAACCACGGGCGTGAGGGAACACCGCATGCTAATTAATGCGTTCCATGCGCAAACACTGCAGGCAACTGTTAAACGTTTGTCTCTTCCTCGTATGCACCCTGCACGTAAGTTTGAATGTATGGTCTACTTTCAGATAGACCGCGCTACCCTTCGTCACGTGGGGTTCGCAACTAGATTCACTGGAGTCTAACGCTGAGTCATTTACCAAAGAGCGTGTAGTTGTTGTCTACGCAATGGAAACTTTAGCCTACCATTCTGCTACAGTATACTACAGGGAAGATGGGACTTTCTTGAATACATTAAACTAAAAATAAGTCGAGACATTCCTCAATGGCCGGTAGTCGGACTGCAAAGATACCGAAATGTGCCATTCGGCTAGCCAAAGATTGAACAGGAACTGCTGCATTGGAAAAGACGAAGTTGCTCAAAACAGTACCTGCTGGAAATATGAGGAGGCGCGTGGCCTGGAAAGCTGTCAGCTGCCCTCCAAACCGAACTGCTCTGTCCAGCTGATATGCATTCGCAAGTCCTGGGGGCAAATAACACAGTGAGCAAATTCGTTCTAAACTAGCCATCACCATACAAGAAAATACAGACGGTCTGTTCACAAAACATGTGCAAAGTGTTGGCCAGCAAAAAATTCAACACTACGAATTATCGCCGTCGGAACTTCACCTCTGGGCTGACGGAAGGCCGGGTGTTTCGCATGGCAGAATGAAAGTCGTCCTGCAGCGTTTGTTCGCAAAAGCATTTCAGCTCACTAGATAAAATGTTGTACACCACATGCGCACACAGATAAGCTACGGCTGTTCCCTTCAAATTCATAGAGGCTGACGGCACGCAGTGCCGCACGTGCAGGTTTGGAGACCCACCATTGTCACTTCTGGAGGCAACAGCCTGTCGGCTGGGACAGACATCAAGGTCATTTTGCGCGTAGTTGGGTCGCAGTCATCTGTAGCAGCACCTCCACAAAACGTCGTCAGCTCAATGAAAAGAGCAAGTATAAACCAAACCTACAAGCAGGGCCTGCAAGTTCAGTGAAGAAAGCTCGTCCCTGTATCTCACCAGGATGACACGGTACGTAGAAAGCCCGGCCATCAATCACCACCTGTTTGAAGGCCGTCGCTGTGCGGCATCTTCTTATGGGCTCAAATAATGCGTCTCTAACAAGGACCGATATATCAGATCCGCTAAAGCTGAGAGCATAAAAAGTAGACAACCCACGGAGCACGAAATGCAGTTCCATTAAGGTTAGCAATTTCGTCTCCACTATGACTATTACTAGCAATCCGTAGTTTCAAACTCCACCGTCACTACTTCACTTAAGAAGCAGTATCAATGTTAAATTCATTAGAAGGCACACTGGCGCAGCAGACCCCTCGAGCTCCCTCGCGAGATGGCGGAAGTCGGCATCCGTGAGATGGTGGGGGGTGCCTCCCAGGCCAGATCTTAACAGCTGCTCTCTGGCCTGAACTTTGGGCAGCGGGATGAATATGCGCCTTTCAAACCTGCGAAACCCCGCATCAATGGTCGCTCGGAATCACTAGCAGAACATGAAGCCTAAGTCGTGTACTCCCAACCGTGAACCAGAATGAAATTTGCTCTAGAGCATTTTGAAGATGGGGAGAAACTCATGGGCAAACCAAACCTGCCGCTTACCGTCGCCGAATCGCAGCATCCAGGGCCCACGGCGTGTTCTGAACAGAGCCAACAACAGCGGCAGCAACTCTAAAGAATAAACTACGAAATGGAGCTCGACGCGGGTTTTGGTGGCAGAGCGCCTGACCTACCGTTGCCCCCAGGACAAGAACTTCGCTCAACTCAAAGTTAATCCCTTGCATTTGAATAAGAAATTCTGTCTTCATGCGTCGGGAGGACTCGCTGTCGCTTTCCGAGCGGGCTGGAAGGCAAAACAAGGCAAAAGCACTTCCTATTCCAATGTGCTTCCCCCATGCGCGAAATTGATGTCTACTCATATCTCTCCACTGGTGCACTTAACAATTAAACACGCATAATATGCACATGTACTGCAATAACTACACAAGCACAGCGTAAATGCAGAGACGGACGGCAAGGGATATACAACGCACCCCCGCACATGGAGTCTATCTCGTCTATAAATATGATGGAAGGGCGCCGCTCCCGCGCCAGCTCAAAGAGCGATCGAACCAACCTGCAGAGCGTACGAAATTTCAATGCAGAACATAAGTAGCTGGTCATCATTACACCTGGAGAGAACCGGCATTAAAACAGACTCGAGAATACGCGCGAAGGTGGCCCACTGGCGACACAAACAAAACCAGAAACAGATGCATGTCCGGATAAGCCAAAACTCCCACGAAGCAACTGCTAAAAGCCGCAGCCCCGTTTTCACCGTCGCACTGCATCAGACTCGACATTAAGGAAGCACAAGGCTGGCATTTCATATGGAGCAATGCAGGCAAGTAGAACACCTCAGCTAGATTTTGGTGCAGCCACGTAACAGCGGCCAACATTGAAAAACATAAGTCGATTGAAACTGTGTACATGTTTAGATTCGAAAACGATGTACGCTTCGTAGCGCGATAGCAGCTAACGAAATCTTTCCTCAAAACTACAGAACAGCCCTCGGCACAACGTACTTCTCGCTCTCTCCTTGCCACTTGCTAACCAGATCTGCCGCCGATACTGCAAGCCGCACATCCCCAAATAAATAGGCAGAAAACGACCATATAGACAGACAGGTAGTGCTGAAGGACAACAACACCACTCTGAAAGGCAGCTACAAAAATGCACGGCTAGTAGCACTGCCATTCCGGTTCCAGCGAACAGAATCTCCCACCTGAAAGAATCGTTGCATCCGCCTCAGCAGCAAGAGCCTTCGCGAGAAAAGTCTTCCCTGTCCCGGGGGGCTGAAAGACAAGCCACATTGCTCGCGAATGCCCATATCAATGTTGTAAGCCTCGCACCCAGCCTCCAGAAGCAGCAGAAAAGAAGAGAACTCCGCACCATCCGCAACAATGACCAAACTACATTTCGATCCCAAGAAGGTACTCTACCAGATGCAAGGGAGACTGACTCCATAGAGAAGAATGCCGCGCCAAGGTCTTCTTTCGCCTGAAGATAAAGAGAAGAGTTGAACGTACACCTGAGGCATTGAAGAGCAAAGCGTTCTGCTTCCCTCTCTGCTGCGGCTTCTGCCCACCAGTAAACAGGCTAGGAAAGCGAGATGGTAGAATGATGGCTTCTTGCAATGCCTCTTTCGCCGACTCCAGCCCTAAGTAACGTACGCAAGGCAATGAAATTTCACCACCCATCATCGATATGCATCAATACGAACCCTTGACTCCCACGCTGCTGTGTCCAGTGCATCCAACGCTGCCTAAAGCCCAATCATGCGTATCTCTTGCATACCTGCGACGTCTGACCATCTGAAATTGGGCTTTTCCGTGAGAATGGCATCTGAATTTTGGGGGAAAGCAGCTCAGAGTCACTTTAACAAGAAGCATAAAGGCAATGCAAAAATGAACACATTGACAATTGATGCAATAATACACAAGCTTCTGTCGATGCACCGAGTTCCGCTGTCGCTGCTTTGTGCTGTGTCCGGAGTCCGGGATAATCTAGAGGGTTTAATGCCTCTCACGCGCCAGTTTCTGCTTTATCCGTTCGCCCTCCGCCGCATCCGCATCTGACTTGGCAGTGATTACTGTGCAGTCCGCTGCAGAGGCCTTGGCAGGCGTGCTGTTCACAGAAGGGGAGGCTGGGGAGCGGGAGATGGGTGTAATTGCGACGCGAGCCGAACTACATCCAAGAGGTTTCGATGGAGAGGATGAGTACAGCAGCAAACGGTGCTGCAAATGCGAAGCTGAGCCCTGACGCAGAAGCTGCTTCAGCTGTTCTGCTCGAGTTATGTATTCGTCCATTCGCCTGTATAGCCGCTCCCTCAGCGTTGGGTTATGCTGAACTGGCAGATCCAGTGCACACCAAAAGGCACTGGAACAAACACAAGCTTAGACGAACGCAAAAAAAAGCCAAACAATTCTGGCAGAGGTGCCTGTGAGTCATCAGCTGCCGTTGAACTGGTACGACACACCACCTTGAAGTTTGTGCTGGAATGCGAAGCCACACTACCTAAACGCCATATCCCGATCACTGGACACGAAGCTTCGGAAGCGTCTAGACTATTACTGCCCGACAACTTAAGCCAAAAAAAGGGCTTAAACCCAGGGATTCGTGACAAAATGCTGACTTACACTTGCAGACAATCCTCCAATTCTCTAGGGCCCGCTTGTACAGCTCGAATGCCTCTGGTAGATGGCCAGCTGAGTCCTTTGCGGCAGCCTCGTTGCTGAGGCGAATCGCCGTCCGAAGGCGCTCATCTGAAAGCCCGAATTCCATGAGCCGTAGCCAGCTAGCTGACTGTGGTAAAACAAGGCTCCAGGAGCTGCCGCCAGAGGCTGGGGGCAGCAGCAGATGTTAGCAGTCCACAACTGAAAAAGCACTAGACCCCTTTACCCGTGATCTGCAACCGGCTTCCCGTGTCGGAGCCTTTCATGGAAAACACAAATGACGATCCGATGCCCATGAGGCAATGCCGATGCCTCCGTCCTGTGGCTACAGCAGGGGGGTAGCCAAACTACTGAGTGGTTCCTCTCCTTAAGAATTGAGCTCTCTCCTGCTATAGTCGGTTCCAGGTTCGTTTGACAGGGAATATGATGCAACAAGTGTGGGTGAGCCAGATAGTCCTAGGGGGCCCCCAAGTGGGAGTGGAGATAAATGTAACAAAACCGCCACTCAACCGACTTCTCGGTGGCTCTCATGCCCGCGTCGCTGAACTAACAGACAAAACTCTACTTTAAAATGAAACTTGACACTTCTGATCCACAAATTACGCCTGCGCCGAACTCTGGGGGCCACCGGTGTGTAGAGCGGTGGGGTTGAACGTGACGGGCTGTTTGAGGGAAGCCATTCCCATCCCCTGTGTCTTCGTGTTTATTAATGATGGTATTGTGTTTATCTTCAAGATATTGATACTTGATTTATGGGAGAAAGCAACTGCGTCGCGGTTCAGTTCTCTCCAGCCCTCTCCTCCATCCGGTATTTGTCGTCTGCTGCCGAAACGGCAGCTATACAGGTCGGCATTTTCATGCTGATCTGTGATTTAAAGTCGCTCTAGCGATATTTTTCAGCACACAGAGCTAAACGAAGGAATATGGCCCGATCTTGCCGGCGCCAAGCTCGTGTTCAGGATGACGGCAGCGACGAAGCTGCACAGGGCGAAAAGGCCGCTAGAGGACACCCTAGAGATCGAAACCCGGAAAAACCACAGAAAGGAAGATCTGAGCCTTCTTCTAAAGCGAATACGAAAACCACATCAGTTTCGCACTCGCTCTACGACCTACTGGGCGTTCCTGCCGATGCCTCTCAAAAGGAAATTACTTCTGCTTACAGACGCAGGGCTCTGTTGTGTCACCCAGACAAGATTCGTCAAAGACAGGAGGGAGCTAGCGGTGACGGGAAGAACAAGGCAGAGAACATCTCAGTGGAAGAAGCCACTAAACACTTCCAGCAGCTCCAAGCCGCCTACGCCGTTCTCAACGACCCAAGGAAGAGGGAGCGCTACGACAGAACGGGCAAGCTACATCCTTCTGCAAATGCAATACTTTACCAAGCTTGATCAGTTACATGTTGCTGTAAATTGGAGAAACAGGATGCGAAAATAGAATATGCCGTGGAAGAGCGGCGGGAGGCACGGAGCGTCCCATACGATGCCCCTTCCGTGTGTTTACGCTAGTTCATGTGCAGTTTTTCATGATGAAATCTGCAAGACAGATTTCTAATTCTCTTTACTGTGCTCCCTACCCTGGAGCTCTAAAGCGAGCTGAATTCGGTTTCTGCGATGTACTCCGCCCTGTGCATTTTGCTCAGGCGAAACGGGCGAAGAGAGCCTGGAAGGCAAGTCGTACGAGGAGGCGTACGCATATTACAGGGAAAAGTTCCCGGAGGTGACAGAAGAAGCAATAAATGAATTTAAACTTCGCTACATTGGCAGCGAAGAGGAGAAAGAAGATATTCTAGATTTCGTCAACAAGTAAGCGATCCCTCAAACTACACACAATATAACCCCTGGCAGAACACACCGTCTCTCAGTCAGCATCTCAACGACACCATATCAACAGGGCCAGAACGGGTAAACAACACATCCTTGTAGTGTACTTAACAGAATGAAGCTCTCCACAGAGTCTTCGTATATGTACTTATACAACAAAATCTTCATTTTTGGAAATGCCCCGTGGTTGCCCGAGATGCATGGCGCACGTATTACAGGACCCACGAACAGCTGCTTCTCCCTAGTCTCCAGGCAAAACAAATTAGACGTATGAAAATAACCTGCAACGATCATGTGTGCATGTTGTGCAACGTATTAACAACAGATTTGGCGGCGACTTGTCAAAATTCTTTGAATTTGTTCCGCTTAGCGACCCCTCCGAGTGCAACAGATACAAGGAAGTGCTTTCTGGCCTCCTCAAGGCAAAGGTAAACTTCAGCAAAATGCACTCACTACATCCCATGTCTCGAAAGCAGAACATTAAACGCAAGCAAGAGAGCCTGACCCGTTAAACAAGCATTTAGTACAGTGAATGCAGCGCACTTTAGCACATCTCCTCTGCGTTTCCTCGCCACAGAAAATCAAAGCCACAGAAGAATACAAGAAATCCTTCCGCGAGTTTGACACCATTGCGGAAAAGTACAAGAAACGCTTTGAGAAGGAAAAGTACGGTGAACATAGATAGTTGGGGGCATAGATTCAAGGGACGTGGTTCACCAGTGAATGCCCACAGTGAGTGGCTTGTTTGCTCATGTCTACTATGGGCTTAAGACCCTGGTGTTATAAAGCGCGTTTGGGCTTTTGTAGGGGTGCTGCACGTAAAGGCAAAGCCAGCAAGGAGGAAGACATGTCTGCTCTTGCCCTGTCCATTCTTGTAAGCGACTAAACCAAACCACCAACGTACAAGGCGAAAACAACAATTGGAGAGATCCAGTAAATGTATAAGTAAATAGCAAGTGTCCCTCAACTGAAGCAATGCGCATGCTCAACACAAACATTGCGCCGCAGAGCAACAAAAAGGCATATGTATGCTTCCTTCGTAGGGAAATGTGCGCAAGAGGGAGGCCGCATCAAATCGTTTCTTAGAGGAACTGGAGCAGAAATACTCAAAGAAGAAAAAGAAAACCTGAACAACTTCCTACGAGCATTCGTCTTCGCGTCGTCGCGGAACCAGAGCCCAGCCCGAATTGCATTTGCAAGAGGGTCCTGGGCCTCATCACAAAACAATGAAGCCGTTGAGACACTGCAGATGATGACAGCGCCGCTTCTTTTGTATATGTATGCGTGAATGTAGGTACACGTATTAAGTACATATATAAATATGTTTCCTATAATTAGGGGAAGTGGGCCATTTGTATACATGCGTACGCGTACATATATTCACATAGTATATAGATACATTCTGTAGACATATACGCAGGAATCCTGGTATTTTGGCGATGTCCCCAGCTCCTGTGAAGTGCACTGCCACCGTTGCAGTCGGCGCTGCCGTGGACGAACAGGCGAACTGCCTCTCCTTTCCTCTGGCCGTTTTGTTCCGCTTGCATCCATCTACATGAACACTTTGGATTCAAAGCAAGCCTTTCAGAGGACACGCCACCGCGCTACGCGCCACGCGCCACACGACAAGTAGTGTGCCGAGTTCTTCGAACACAACACAATCAGAATTGAAAGCACTGACAGCATCTGCGCAACACAAAACACCTTGTGAATCCGTATGCGCCAACCTATGCAAGCATTGATCTCCCCGCCGCAGTCGCGTCTTAAATCCACCGTAAAATACACCCTGATGTTAAATCCTCTGTAAATACACCCCGATGAACACATCGCTACGTCCTCCGCTTCTTCTCGTTGCGACTCGACGGCGTTCCAGCCCTCCCCCTATCCTGTACACAGAGCCGTCCCAGCGCAGACCTCCGGGGAAAGATTAACCGAACAAATCTGACTTTGGAAAAGCATGAGCATCTTGCAAGTCACGGTCTGCACTACGCATGCACCGAACCACCCAGTCCTCCGCACCAAGACCAGGAGATGAGAAACCTCACAATCATGTAGGTACACCTCACCTTTTTGGCCAGAACGTAGAGAGGGGCCAACGCTGCCTGGGCTGACTGCACCTTCGCCTGCAACGAAAGGCTGCAGCAAAAGGGGGAAAGGCAAAAGAGGAGGCACGTAAGGTGCATATCACACTGTATGCTAACTGCCTGCTACTCGTGCAGACATAATCTGAAGTAGATGTAAAACATGCAGGCAGCTAAATCGCACAGGCAGTCTGCACATGGAAACGGAGTCATGTGATGCCAAAGTGACGTTATTGTGCATCTTTGGCCTTCTCCCATCCTTTGAAAACTGTCTGCAATGTGACAAATGGCCAAATATACTTACGCGGGTCGTTGATACTCCACGTCTTCCGTTGACGATATCTGCAAAAAATACAGGGCCTACACCATCACCCACTTCATGACCAAATCAATTTTCATATTTGATTTGCAATCTCTAAGCATCCGAGGTATATATATACGTTTACACAGAAGTCATATATATATATATATATATATATATATATATATA